CATTAACCATTATTTATAACGGAAGCAGCACCCATATAGAAAGAAGGAAAGAACTGCAAAATTTAAATCTAAGTAAGATTCTAGGGTGCATATGGGGTGCAACCAGAGTGGTGAAAAAAACTGAGAAATGGAGTGCGATTGACATTTTCCTATTAGGATCCCACCACCAAGCAGTATTTCTCAAATTATATGTCAGCTTTAATTAGTACAGCGCTTTCTGGAAAAGTGAATAGAAATTAGCATCTATATAGGTTGTCAGGTAACAAAATACAGAATTTTCACACTATTGATACAATACATCAGCCGTGGCCTGATGCTATAAAATGTCATCATGAGGAACAGGTAAAAACTCATCAAAACCGTTCCTGAGTTGATGCTCTACTCCTCAGGGAACGTTATACAAGAGGTCAAGCAAAACGGAGAAAAAGAAGAAATTAAAGAATCAGGTTAAGCTAAGGTAGGTTCCGAATCGAGGAGGACAGAGCAGAGTGGAAGTAAGTAGTTGATTTAATTAAAGGGGCAAGTTTCGAAATAAAAGGTTAAGCACGGTCACCTGGTAATTTGGCAGGACAGTTCGATACGAGATCTTTGCAAGACACTTATGCAGGCCACTAGAGTTTGTAGGCTATACCGCAAAAGAGTGAATTCACTTGCAGAGAAGGAGACGGGATCTGGGAGGCGGCAGCATACCACTCCAAACCGACTTGGGAGGGAAGGGGGATAGCAGAGGGTTTATGTATATCGCGTCTCACGGGCTATGATTTTTAAGCCCAATAGCCCAGTTTTCTCAGAACGGCCACCGGCATGCTTACCCGACCCAATTAAAGTTTTGTAAAATTATAGTAGAAAAAATTACCGTCAGATCTCACACAAAAAAATTAATTACTGCAAGATCTATTAGTAAATGAACTAAACTATATTAATAACTGATTATGTTGTTAATATGATTTAATTCAATTATTAATGGACTTACAGTAATTAATTTTCTTATTTAAGATTTTAATGTAATTGTCTCAATTATAATTATTTGCTGATCAATTCAATTATTCAACACACACATTCAACAGTGCATCAATGCTGTTCCCAGCATAGCATTCATCTATTTTACTAATCCACTTTTTCTTTCTACCCTATCAACGCGGGATGAATAATTGCCTCTCTCAATAAGAGTTAGTAATTTGAGGGTAGACTTATTTGAACTTGGGTTGATCCAACCAAATCTGAACTTGATAGGCCCAAACTTTTTAAATAGTAAGCTTGGGGTTGGCCCAAATACCAAGATGATCAATTTTTATTTTAAAATTAATTTTAATTTAGTTTTTTACTTTAATGTTAATTATTTTTGTTTTATAAAAAATATAAAAATATATTTTTTGAAATACTTAAGTAATGCAGAAGACTCAAAATTTTTTCAAAAATATGTGGGTCTTATAATTTAAAAATAAATATTGAAATATATTTAAAATATTATTTCGATATATTTTATATAGTTAAATAATAAAAATATAACAGTATAAACATTTTTAATTATTTTTAAAATATCTGTAACAATTACTCAAGTATATGGTACCTTGGCATAAAATAACCTAGAATTAAAAAAATTCATCAATATTTACTACATTACAATATTTTTTAAAAATAATTTTTTATATTTAAGTATTTGGGCTAAGTCTGACCCTGACAAGACTTGACTTAAATTTTTTTAAGCTAACTTGAACATTAAAACAGTTTAATTTCATTAAACTTGATTTTATTTTATTTTTCTCGATTAGCTTGTCAGGTTTAACTTGAATTACTTGCTTTACTACTCTTAACTATTATTTTTCGATAGTGACCTTAGGGATTTAACATACCCAAGCCTCCCACTCCTTGAGTCATTGATTGGTTATTCCATAAGATTAAAACTATTAAAATTTGGTCTAGACTGAAAATAAGAATTGTTAGATTGGATGTCAACGGTTGTGTGAGAAATGAATTTAGCAAATGCGGAGTGTGGTTAGAGAGTGTGATGCTCATTAGACATATGGTTTTAACATTTGTGTTGGTAATTATCCTGTTGTTATGATTGAATTACTAGCAATTGTTCACGGTCTTCTTTTGCGTCGGGAGAAAGGAATGCAGAATATCAACGTTTTCACCAACTGTGTAGCTGCATTGGATCTACTTTTTCATTGCGACAATGATGAACATCCATTTTTGATATTATTTCCTAGGCTCAAATACTTCTATGAAGGGACTAGGTTATTTACTTGAATCTTTTGTATAAAGAAGCCAATTTTCAAACCCACTTTTTGGCTGAGTATACTTGTAATAAAGCAAGTGAAATCCGTACTTTTGATCAACAACCATTTTTTTATATAGAGGTGGTGGATGATGAAAAAAAAAAATGTCTGGATAGTTTTTATTTTTACTGCTTTTGTTTTTTAGTTCAACTTTGTAATTCAAAAAAGAAAAAAAAAATACTATCAAATTAAGCAATACAATTTTTTTTAATGCAAAAAGTTTAGATAAGTTTGACTGACTCTTGAAGGTAAACTTTACCTTAGCAAGCGTCTTCGATTAGTCTCTCCAACTTATGATATTTACATTATCTTTGGAAGGAAGCCCATAAGTCATTTTATAAATTTAATTTTGTCACTTAAAAAATAATTTTAAGAAAAACGAAGTTCATATTTTTAAACAAAAAGTTAGTAAGTATTTAACTAATCAATCTTTTTTTTTTTCGGGGCCTAATCAATCAATCTATTAATTTATTTGATTTGATTTACGCCAAATCACAAGACTCACAATTGTGAATAATACAATTCAGTCCTTCAATTTATAGGAGACCCCACGTTTAAAAATGTCGGGGGGAAAATGCACTTCACATTTATTCCTAACCGCGAGCCTCACCAACACCCCATCTGTATGGATAGAAGCATTTATTTTTGTATGTCTGTTATGTCCTTTCTGTACAGCATGTCAGCATTTATTTGGTTGCCCGTGATAACCATTGCAACCAAATCAAATTAAAATCAAGGTAAAAACAAAAAAACAGTTATAGGGAAGGGGGTGGGGGGGGGGGGGAAGACTGGAATGCTAAAGTGATTTAAACACCCATAGCATTTTGTGAAATGTGCATAATTTCTTGATTTAGGCAGCAATGTCTTCTTGAGAATTGTAATTATATATACATATATATATATATACTTGTTAATATATTTTAAATAAAAATTGTTATTTTCACAGGTGATATGCATGAGCATTAGGAAAATGCGTTGGGTGTTGCGTCATACCATGCAAAAATCATACTTTTTTGTTTTTGGCCAGAGGCAAAAATCATTCTTAAGATATATAAAAACATCGTCTAATGTCACACAAAAGAGCAACCCACGGTGCGAAAAATGTAGTCTCTTATTTGGTTCAAAGGAATTCACGTACCAAATATTCCAAAATACAACATGAAAAATATAGTCTTATTTTTATAGCAATATATACTAGGGTAACAAATTAATATAGATTGATGTTTTTTTAATAGAGCGTATGTGACCAATAAATTATGCCACAATACATCTCTATGAAAAATGTCCTATTTTTTTTCTTTAAAAACAAACTGTATATTTGATATCAAAAGCCACATTGAATTCTTTGATCACTCTTCCCCTCTGTTCGTTCCCTTGGGTAAGCATTTGGAAGCTTAAACTCCCACACAAATATTGCTTATTCTTTTTTGGAAGTTTCTACATGAAACAATTCCAACATCTGATGTTCTATTCAAGGATCATTTGTCTTCTTCAAATGGATGTGCTTTTGGGTGCCAGGAAGAAGAAACGATATCTGATCTCTTCTTTTCTTGCCTGGTCTCTAAAGCTATTTTTTTTGGTGGCCTTAACTTGAGATCAGATGCCCTGACTTCCCCCAACATTATAGGTTCAATCAAATCCTTTGTTAAGGATCTCACCGATCGCTCTGAGGAAAATCTGGCGCGAGATTTCATCATAATTTTAAATTTAACCTGGGATTAAAGCAGTGCACGAAGGCCGGAAGCCGAGAATCTCAGTCATTATTAAGGAATTTCAGCGTGCAAAAACTTTTCTGGATAATATCTGTACCTGCCAAAATCCAGATCTGGAAGTTCATTCAGATTCGAAGCGAGTCAATCATCAACTACATAATCGTGGTATCCCTCAGCAGATGGAAGGCTGGATCATTTCATGTCTGAAAAAGAAAACCAAGGATTCAATTGTTTTCCAGATCAAGATTCTCTTTGGTTCTGAAACTTTCATTAATCTAGAGTGGAAGAAAAGGAAATCTATGAACAAACCCTTGCTCATCTTTGAATGCATCAGATCTGCACTTCTCTGGATTAAAACAGTGGAAATTAATGGAATTTGCAATAGCGGGACTTTGATCATTGTTGGAAATCTTGTGAACAAACTTAACCTTTGCAGGGATCTGAGATGCGCAATTAAGGAGGATATTTGCAAACTCATGGCCGGGTTCAAGGAGGTCAATATGATTACATTAAACTCTTTGCTCGAGAGTGCAACAAAGGACCCAACGTGCTGGTGTCCAGCTATTAGCATGTTTAACATTCCTTTTATTATCTTTTTTTAATTATTACACTCATCTTTTGTACTATAGACTATTATTCAAAAGAAGAAGCTACAATGAATTGTAACTAATTTGAATTAGAGCCAAATAATCAGGTCCCACTTAAGAGGTAGTTTTTTTAAAAGTGTTTTTTATATTCACTCAAACTGGAGCTTAAAATCTTGTACTTAAATGATTATCCATTATTCTATTTAAAAATATTTGATTTTGAGAATATTTATTTATTATCATAAAAGTATAACTTCATATTACGCTGGTAAAAAAAATTGCATTCCTCTGCATCCTGAGATTAAAAAGAAAAGGACAAGGCAATACGAAGAGGACAACTTTCGAGGGAGGGTAATAAATATTTGCTATAAGATTATATGCAACGAGGTGGTTTGTGAAGGGATTTGAATCTCTTAAACAAGCGATGCCGGTAGAATGTGTGGAGGATGATGGGAAAGAAGAAGCCAAAGATTGGCAAAGAGAGAGGGAAGAGAATAATAAACTACGAGACTTATGCATACTGTGTCTTATTTCAAGTGTTAGATCTCAGGCATGACAAGTCACTTTTGTGAAGGAAAGGTCAAACAAATCAAGCCGAAAGGAGGAAATGAAAGCCAAGCTGACCTCTCATCCACTCTTATTTCTCTTAATCAGATCACATCCACAGCAATGTCGGCCAATGCTGAAATAAATAGAGGTACGTACCGGGGAGAGGAAGAGAAGCGAGGGGGCCATCGATCAGAAATTAAAGATGGAGAGAGAAGTGGAGAGCGTGAGGGAGTACTATGGCACTGGCAAGACTAAAGAAGCTTCTTGGAGAACGTCACAGCTTCAAGGCTTGCGTGCCTTCCTCATCCACGACCAACATGACATCTTCCACGCTCTCATGCAAGATCTTGGCAAGCATCGTCTCGAGTCTTTCCGTGATGAGGTCCGTCACAGCCTTCTCGCATTCTCTTTCTTCTAACTTGTATATTTCCACTACTTCTGTCTCTTTATGCTCACTGCAGATAGGAACGCTGATCAAGTCCCTAAATTTCGCTTTGAAGCATTTGAAAGAGTGGATGTCACCCAGAAAGGTAACTATATACTGCTGCGTAGGTACCTTCCAAGCGTGAAAATTTTTCAGGATTAAATCGACTGTTCCTAATTATTGCTGTTGTGGTGATGGTAGGCTAAATTGCCACGAATAGCACTCCTTACAAGTGCAGAAATCGTAGCAGAGCCATTGGGTCTGGTGCTCATCATGTCATCTTGGAATTTCCCCTTTGGTGAGCATGACCTACTTAATTACAACCAAAATCAAGTTCAAGGCGGGCCTTCTCCAAGTTATACATGTCAAATGAAACTTAACTTTTTTCTTTTGAAAAACAGGACTGTCCCTGGAGCCACTGATAGGAGCATTAGCTGCCGGAAACACAGCAGTCATAAAGCCTTCAGAGCTATCCCCTGCGAGTGCTTCTCTGCTAGCCTCTGCCCTCCCGAATTACTTGGACAATGAAGCCATCAAGGTCATCCAAGGAGGCCCAGAAGTGGCCAGGCAGTTACTCCTCCGAAAATGGGACAAAATCTTCTTCACTGGTAACCCATAATTGACACGCACTCGTCATCATCCTGACTCTTCTCTTTCTCTTTCATCTTGCTCTGGTGCTGTATGCAGGAAGTCCACGTGTGGGACAAATTGTGATGTCGGCAGCAGCGAGACACCTGACACCGGTGACGTTGGAGTTGGGTGGAAAATGCCCTGCTGTTGTCGATTCCCTATCCTCTTCTTGGGACAGAGAAGTAAGTATCTCGCAAGTTCAATCATGTTAGTATTGACAACTATTGCTCTTAATCGACAGCACTGGACTTATTGGAAGTTACTGTTGCTTTCTGTTAAACCACTGATAAGGTGGCTGTAAAACGAATTGTTGTGGGAAAATTTGGGACTTGTGCTGGTCAAGCGTGCATAGCAATCGATTATATTCTAGTTGAAAAGGAATTTGCTTCCACCTTGGTACGTTTCCCCGGCAAGATTCTGCAATTCAGCTGCAAATTTCACCGCTGTGTGTATATTCACTCGATATCTTGGTTTCCTTAGGTGGAACTGATGAAGGTCTGGATCAAGAAGATGTTCGGAGAGAAACCCTTAGAATCCAACACCATTGCCAGGATAATTAATAGACAACACTTCTTCAGACTCCAGAATCTTCTTTCGGATCCAAGGGTCAAAGAATCAGTAATTTATGGCGGCTCAATGGACGAAGACAACTTGTAATTGATCCTCTCTGCTCTCTCCCTTATTGTCTGGGACCAATTAAGTTGTTTCTCACTGAATCTTCTCTGCCAAGAAAAAAATTGATGTGCACAGATCATTTGCAGATTTATCGAACCAACAATCTTGATGGATCCCCCACTTGAAGCGGCGGTGATGTCAGAAGAAATTTTTGGTCCGTTGCTTCCAATTATTACGGTAAGATATGAACGTGTGAATACGCCATACCATTTCCACAGTGTGACATTAATTAGCGGTCCAAGAAAAATGGTGGATGATATATCTGTTTTTCGTCATCATGATCTGCAGCTGGAGAAGATTGAAGACAGCATCAAATTCATAAACTCAAGGCCTAAGCCTCTTGCCTTCTACGCGTTCACCAAAAACCAAGCCCTTCAGGGAAGAATGGTGTCCGAAACATCATCTGGAAGTGTGACGTTCAACGATGCAATTCTTCAAGTATGTATATATATGTATGCTGCTGCTCAATTATCTTTATGACTCGTGAAGTATTGACAATGGATGTTGAATTTTGATTGAGAGAAGTGATCTTTTGATGTTGTTTGTGCGTTGCAGTATGCGGCGGATAGCTTGCCATTCGGAGGAGTAGGGGAAAGTGGGTTCGGGAACTACCATGGGAAGTTCTCATTCGATACATTCAGCCACCAGAAGGGCATTTTGAGGAGAAGCTTCCTCACTGATTTCTGGTTTAGGTATCCTCCGTGGACGATTACTAAGTTTCAGGAACTGGAGACCTCTTACAATTATGACTATCTTGGATTGTTTCTCGTCCTGCTCGGCTTAAAAGCGTCCCCAACACGTCTGTGACCTCATCCTGCCATCCTCAATCCTCTCTTCTTGTTTCATCACTTCTCAGGCTGTTTATAAGCCGTTTTACCATTATTCCTAATTTGCTCTTTTCTGTGTCTTCTCAAGTGTTGCATATTGTAAAAGTTAATCCATTAATGACACTTTGGATGCTCTAGAATTGTAAACGTGCATGGTTATAACTATTTCTCAAGTTACTCCCACATGCATCCTTGCTACTTTTTCTCGATAGCATCATAAAGTTGATTTTTTTTTATCAATTTTAAAATGATTTTTACTTAAAGTATATATTTTTAATTGGAGCATAGTCGTCCTCTTTCATTTTCAGCAGACGAATAACTAATATTTTAACTGTTTGACCCTTTACTCGGTCATAAATAAATTTAAGGAGAATTTCATTAAAGTGGCCACATTTATTTAAATTTAAAGTTCCTAAATGTCTGAAAATTTGCAGCAATTTAAGGATACCGATGACAAAATAGCCCCTCATTTAAATTTATATTAAAAGTGCCATGTTTCACTTATTTATTTAGTTATGAAATGTAATTAATTATCTTATTTTACTTATTTATTTCTCTCAAAGAAAATTAAGTAAAAGTCTGACAATAAACAAGTAAAATACGGCAATGAACAAGTGCATATGGCAATAAACAATAATTTGTAAGTAAATGAACAACATATAATATAGAAATTAACAAATTATCTTAAGATGATTTAAATATTTAAAATAAAAATCAGTTAAATAGGACAATTAACAACATTTCGTAAGTAAATTAATATATGAAGTAGGGAAGTTTTAATATTAATTTAAATGAGAGATAATTTTGTCATTTTTTTTTCAAAAATTTAATATAAAATCAGTACCCCTAAGCTATAGTGTAATTTTAAAAATTTAAAAGCTTTAAATTTAAATAAATGCAATTAATAGGTTTTTATTGAAATTCTCTCATAAATTTATAAATGATCACTTTTACTTTGTTGGAACTAAAAGAAATCCCACTATTTCAGTCAATTATAAAATTAAGTGCATGTTTTGTTTTTTTTAGCTAAAAGTCAGTTTGTCAAAAGTTCATAGACAAAAGTTAATTTAGTAAAAGTAAAATAAAATTTATATTTAGATATATTTTTTAAAAAATTAATTTGATAAACTGAAAGATGTTTGGATCATATACAGTGAAATATGCTTTTAAATATAAAATTAAAAAAATAAAATTAATTTATGATGATTTGTAATTTTTTTATACAAATATAATAATATTAGAAATGTTAAAAAATGTGATAAAAATTTTAAATAACATAAAATTTGGTATGTTAAATAATAACAACAAATTTGATATGTTAAAGAATAATAATATTTTAGATTTAATGTATATTTCTTAAAGTTAATTTCTAAAAAATTTAATAGTTATTCATTTATATAAATTTTTAAATTTAACATATAATAGAATATTGGTAGTTTAATAGAATTTTTTAAAGAAAAAATATAACTTTAAATTTTTGCATTGTTAGTTTTATTTTAGGTCCTTATACTTTTTTTTTTGATATTTTAAATCCCTCTTCTTTTATTTTTGGTGTTCTAAATCCCTTAATGAGTGATATTATAGGGACCTAAAATATTAAAAAATATAAGTATAGAGATCTATAATATAAAAAAAGTGCAATGAATTATAGCAAAACTCGAGCAAATTATAGGGACCTAAAATTATATTTTTTTAAATAAAAAGTATGGACAAGTCATAAAAAATAAAAGGATAAATATAAGTTTTGATTCCTATATTTTACTTACATTTTGCTTTTGATTCCTATACTTTTTTTAGTGTTTTAAATCCCTGCACTTTTATTTTTTATTGTTTTGGGTCCTTCCAAAATCTTTATCCTTTAATCATAGATGGATCGAAAATAATAAAAAACGAAAGTGTAGGACCTAAAACATAAAAAAATATATATATAGAGACCAAAAGCAAAATGTGAGTAAAGTACATAGATCAAAAATTATGTTTATTCAAAATAAAAATTTCATATGTCTAATATTCTTTTGTGCCAAATGGGATTAGTTAATTTGACTTATCAATAGTTTTAATATTTAAACTCAAAATATTTCATTTATTTTTGGTTTCGTATTTTATTGTTTTCTTAAGATCATTTATTTATTTTAGTGTAATTAACAATTCAGGTTGTATTAACTGGTCATAATTAATTAGCATCCTATTTATTTCACACTTAAAGAGGAGGAGGAGGAGGGCTTGGTGGCTCCCGCAAATACACGGGATTGCAAAAACAAATTATCCAAAATATTTCAGTCTTTTTTTTTTTTCCACAGCCGAAATATGTCAGTGTTACTTACGAGAGGGAAAAATTTTTGTTATTTCAATTAATTTTAATGTAAAAAAAAAGATTGAGAAAAAAGATTTGAATCAATAACTAAATAAAAAAACAACAATTAACAAAAATCAATAATAAATATATAAAGAGTATTTGATCAATTCAAGTATTGGGGTTTAGGATTTACCCTATGAGTCACTAATTTTTATCCTTTAAATTAATTATTTATTAATTATGATGACAATTGTTTCTATAGTGTTCTGATTACCTCTCAATTAATTAATTTAATCGATCAATTTCACTGGCTGTCATGTGGCCGTTCTTTCAATCAAAATATATATATATATATTTAATAGCTTATTTTCTTCTTTTCTTTTTTATTTCTTTTTATGTTTTGCCTGAGAAATATCAAGAAATTAATAATTATATGAGTTGATTTTTAACAAAATTTCTTTTTATCTTATAATTTAATGATAAAAGAAAAATACGTGAAAAGTAATTCAATATATATAAAATATTAATAAATTTAATGTAAATCAAAACCCTATTTAACTATAAAATATATATACGTAGTTTAAGAGTGATGAATAGAATTTTTTAAAGTTTTAAAAATCAGACCGATTATTAAAAATTCACGATTCATTAGTTCAATTGTAGTCAAATTGGTTGACATTAAATTAATATATTTTTAATTTATGTATCATAATTAAATAAAAAATATATGCAAGTATTTATATTTTTTTAAAAAATATTAATAAATGCTTGGTAAAATGATATATTATTGATGAATACATGATTAATATTAATTATTCTTGACTATTCTTTATTTAAATTAATTTTTTAAATAATTCAAACTGATTTTTAAGAGGACCAGTCTGATTTTCAATTAATTTTTGACTAATTTTTTCGATCGTTGATTGATTTTTTTATAAACAGTTCTAAAAGGTTAACTGAACCAAACTACAAGTCGATTCTCGATTCAACTGGTCGGTTCAGTTTGATTTTTAGAACATTAGAATTTTCTAAGTTATCCAAACAAAGAAAAATATAAGGATGGATCATTTATGATTTTCCCTGACAGAACCGGCCCTCAGCAGCTCGCATCATGTTAATTATACCTTGCCTTCATATCCATCAAAGCAATTGATCCTTCTTGTCCCCATGCAAGCCTCAGTCCCAGATGCCACAGTTTCCAAAGTGTTCTAATTACCTCCCATTAAATTTCCTTGACCAGCGGATAGTGATTGAATTGGATTGTGCTGTGCCTTGTCATATAGTAATTGAGTCCAAAAGGATTACAAGCTGTGACTCCATAAACTCCCTTTCTCCCTAATCTCTCGACAGCGGAATTCACTGGTAGATTGGCTGGCTGATCTGTCATGCTTCAAAGGGAGCGCGCCCTATATACGGGCTGCTTCTTAGACCTCTGCAGCCAATTTCCCTTTCGTGCTTGTACGCCCACCTGTTACTTTACTTAATTAATTGAACTGGTTACCAAAAAAAGAAGTTAATTGATAGAACACACCTTCATTTTGATGTGATACTTTTTAGACTTGCAAAAATTTATATTATTACTTATTTAAAAATCAATAACAAGATAGCCTCTTATTAAACTCGCATGAGTGTTGTAATTGTTTGGCAACATGAGCGTTGTAATTGTTGGAAGTGTGCATACATATTAAGGAATAAAATGAGCTAGTAAATAAGCTTGGAAGAGAAGTGAACTCACGCACATGAAATTAATCTACACATGGCAATATCAATTGAAAACAGCCAATTCACCTCCCTGTGTACGAGTTAAAGAGGCATTGGATTCTTTTTGCGGATTTAATTTTGTAAAAATCAAAAATTAATTTTGTATCATATGCTTATTCAAAAATCTTTGAATTTGACACTTCAAAGTTTAAAAACCTAAACCGTGTTTTGAATGCCATTTATCGGAGGCTATTTGAATTTAAAAAGACAAAACTAATTTCTTAAATGTCTTAATGTGCCAATGTTCAATAAGTCTCTAATTAAATCGCATTATGTGACTTTGTAATTCTGAAACTGATCCTTAATTGTGTGTTGAGACTGACTGAAGGTGCAGCCACCTTGAGACTGATCCTTAAACGTGTCTGGATATGCATATAATATATGTGTTGTCGTCAATTAATTAACCGCGTAATCTTTTCCTCATCATTTGTTCATTTTATTAAGCTTATTATTATTATTATTCATCAGATAAGGGTGAAACGACAATGCTTCTGATGTGAAATCTCTCTCCAAATGACATCCATTATATTTCTGGGTTTTAATTTAATAATGAACCTAAGCATTTCATCCAATTTATAGGCAGCCCAACTCTCTGGACTATGAAATTGGATGAAGTGATTGGTGGGTTAAAAAAAAAAAAAAAACTGGCTTAACCTATTACACAAGGCGCGTCACTTGGCCTAACCAACATATCTTGTAAGTTGTAACTGAAGAAAAAGTCAAGGCAATGATAAAATTACATTTTTTCGACTCTCTTTACAATAAGAATCCCTGCAACATATTATACCCGTATTAGAACAAATTTTTGCAGCTGGGACGTCTTTGTTTTTTTTTTTTTTAATTAGACTCGCACGAGGTGCATGTTCGTCTTCTCCATGATTAAGATGAGAAATGACAAAAGCTCGGCCGTATTGTTTAGAGTTTAGACATTAGACGTATTTCAGCTGCTCATCTAAATGTTGTTGTCATGAATTGGCCAAATAGTACTTGTGGGGCCCAAGATGAATACGTGGCTTGGGAGGTGGTGCTTCTACATGATGCTGTCACTAGTAATTGAATGGGAAAGACACCTCAACGATGTGAAGACAAGGCAACATATGAGGCGAGATTGTTTGTAAAAGGGGTGTGGAATTTGTGATTATGCTTCTCCTCTCCGTTGCTTCTTTATCTCTGAGCCTTCTCTTGTATTTGTCTTCTGATCTGCACCTCGTCTTCTTCTTATAATTCCTTTTTGCAACTTATGAAATCCCCTGTGAATAACTCTTGATTAAGAATACCTTGAGTTTGTCAGTGACGTCTTTGAGTTCTTGTTCTGCTTATTTTGTTGAGCATGTGACAGTTGTTACCTAAATTAAAATATTGTTTAAAATTAGTATAGTCGGTGTCGGTTTTCTATGACTTCTTCTTCTTCTTCTTGTGCAGAAAATACTCGCTAAAAAAATCTTAGCTGATCCATCGAAAGCTGTTCCTATCCACATTTTCTTGAATAATAACGTTGTTCTATGTATTTGCAAGTTAACGTCAGCAGATATAGAAAAATAAAATCCAACAAAGTTAAAAATTTCACTGTCCGGAAGAGTTTACTCTTGTCCCATTAGGTGGAATCGATGAATGTCTGTATCAAAAATCGAATATAATGGTGGTGTCAAAATTTCTTCTTTGAAGGTGGTTTACGATCGATCATATAAATAATTCGCTATATTTATTTATCGAACCTACAAATTTGGTTCGAGGAACATGCTTCAATTATTTTACAGCAACTACATATATATATATATTCACCAAAAACCGGTCACTGATAATAAAAGTGGTGTCTGAAACATCATCTGAAAGTGTGACGTTCATCTTCGTCCGTCTAAAGTCTTCACATTTCGCTGTTCATCCATAAGGACGGCAAATTTAATTGTCCTTGTACACAATCAAATGAAGCAACCCACCAGAAGGCCATTTTCGTTGCCAAAATATATGAAGATTATATATATAGCATTCTCGATTCAGAAATATTTTCAAGAAATTTAGGAACTCGACTTTATAATTTTTCATGGAATTAACTATATATAGTAGGAGCTGTTTTTGTGCTAACATACTCATATTCTTGGACACACCATAATTTTAAATTGATTATGAATATTATAGATATTAAGTATTGTCAAGTGCAAACTAATATTTATTTATTTGAATAGATCATTACTATTGATAATAAGAGCTCCCTCTAATCCTTATTATAAGACACCTTTAACTACTTTATTGGAATTAATGAGAGTTGATTAAATCTTTAACTTTATTCTAAATAGAAAAAAATTTTAATTTTATCTCTATTTAAATGAAAGTTTTTTAAATTTATATTACTTTTCAAAAAAATAAGGCAATTTATATCTTTTCCCAAGAAAATATGGTAATTTATTTCTTAAACGTGTGTTTCTTTTCCAAAATTTAATTATTCTATATTTTGAGGAATTAACGTTGGTGGATATGAGAATTTGCTTTGACGAATTTTTATCAATTAATTTGTTTTAAAAAAATTATGATAGGCCCCATGCTGCCGGGCTGGGGAAATTTATGAAGGTGGGGTTGGCTCACATACCCGTAACCATAGTCCCATTTTTCACGTGTTTGTGCAACTATAATTTTGCTCTTTCGATATTTCTCCTCGCAATTTATTTTCTATCCAGAGAAGAAAAAACAACAAAACCAATTCATAAATTACGATCCTTCTCAATAATGTAAAGCAGATCCGGAAGGGGCGTCGTCACTCATCAGCATATGGTTCCGTGAGCACATATTTTAAAATTTTAATAGTTAGACATTAGAATTTAAAACCATAAATATAACTGAGTAAAATTTTATGTAATTATTTCTCCAGTGTATTGTTTGGGAAAAGATATCCAGAGAAGCACTGATTTATTATTTCTTCATACGCAAGTTTAAGCTATCATTTTTCAGAAATCCCGTCTCCTTGTAAATATTAAAATTTGACATGTAAATATAGATATTTAATTTATAAATGGATTGAAAAAAATTAATTTTTTATCCAGAGCCTGATTGTTATTCTCCCTATAATTTTCGGATTCAGTCTTATATACTGGAAAAGTACTTATCCGATATACATGTGATGACAGATTTTGTAATACTTAGCAAATGAACTAAAATAAGTGTAAAATTCCTGCAGGCGTGCAATACACTGGTTGCTGAGGTAATTGAGGGCAAATGATTTTAATTATATAAAAACTTCCAGTTTCATACATGGTACGTAAAATGATTTTACCGTAAACTATACACAAATAATAATGCATACAATATAATTAATATTATAAATATCATGTTATGGATGTCCATAACTCATAATCTTTAGGATTTTTTTATCTTTAATGTCCTCGTGAGTGACATGAAAGAAGTTTCTGATTCTTAATAGCTTATAACCTTCAAAGTTTATACAATGCATTATTATTTGTCTCATTATATCTTTGTAACATTAGATAGAACTTGAATGGTTGAAAGCCTATAAATTAAGGTCATGTTCAAAATATATGTACACTAGTAACAATAATTCTCTTTCATTGTTTTCTCTCCATTTCTTGTATTGTCTTATCTTTCTCTACTTTTCATATTGACTATATTTTACAACAATCAGTTAATAAAAATGTTTTCATAATTACATCTATTAGTTGCACACATATAAACATGTATAACATTCGATATTCAAAATAATATAGATCATATATGTTGGATAAAAGCAACAATATTATATTAGAATAAGTGAGTTTTAAATTTTACAAATAATTAAAAGTGTTAATAATAAAAGTTAAAAATTGTCTTATCTTTCTCTACTTTTCATATTGACTATATTTTACAACAATCAGTTAATAAAAATGTTTTCATAATTACATCTATTAGTTGCACACATATAAACATGTATAACTTCCGATATTCAAAATAATATAGATCATATATGTTGGATAAAAGCAACAATATTATATTAGAATAAGTGAGTTTTAAATTTTAAAAATAATTAAAAGTGTTAATAATAAAAGTTAAAAATTGAGTAAGTCATTAATAAAAAAATGCATTTTATTTTGATTATAAAAAATTGTATTAAATACATAAACTTAAGTATCTAATTTTTCTTTCAAAATTATGGTTGATTTATTAAACTACAAATCCCCCCAATACCAAAACCACTTGAACACAGGTTGCCTTGTGTTCATGTGGAGAGACCAAGACCAAATTCTCAAAACATGCTAAAGCCCAAAACAATGTATGAGATATTTCTTTTACAGAACTCAATAAGGCGATTAGAAAATTAATATTAGCCTTAAACTCGGAAAATGTAAACTTTTGTTGCACAACATACACTAGAGCCATGGAGAATGAAGAGGATAACATATTAACAACACAGTGGTATTATAAAATTTTTCTTCAATCATTTAGAATAACGGGTTGATTACTCTCCACTCAAATTTTAATTTCATGACTCAATCTCGCAGGGAAGGGATCACAATAGAATGAAGGTGACAAAATTATGTTTGATACAAAAATTCATGAAACCAAAGCTCTAAATTTCATTAGGAAGTAATGCAAAATATAAAAGGGGTTACGTGGCGATTAAAGATAGCCGGCTAACATAGTGTAAACAATATTACTCATGAACATCATGCAAATAAAATAGAAACAATACATTTGACAATTTTATTCAAACAATTCAAATCAACTAGATTAAAGAAATCTTAATAAACTTTTGGAGGTGAAGGTGAGTTGTAGAGGTAAGGATATGATGAATTACTGAGGTAAGGATGAGGTGGACACTTAAATATGTAAGGAGAGGGTGTGGGAACTAGTAGACATATGGAGGAGGAGGTGCTGGAGATGATAGGGGTAGAGGCTCGTAGTTTGCAGGATGTGAAGGAGAAGGTGGAGACTTGTAGACATGAGGTGGAAGAGGTGATAGAGATGGTGGTGGAGGAAACTTATGAACGTATGGAGATGGTAGAGAATGTGATGAAGGAGGTGGGAACTTGTAAACATGCAGTGGTGGAGGTGATGGAATAGGTGGAGGAGGAGACTTGTAAACACGTGGTGGAGAAGTTGGTGGAGGTGGAGACTTATGGGCATATGGAGGCGGTGAAAAATGTAAAGGAGGAGGTGATGGAGATAGTGAAGGTGGAGACTTATGAGAGTATGGAGGTGGCAAAAAATGTGAAGGGGGAGGTGGGGACTTGTAAACATGCGGAGGAGGAGGTGATGGAGTAGGTGGAGGAGAGGACTTATAGACATATGGAGGCAATGGAGAACATGAAGGGGGAGGTAACTTGTATACACGCAGAGGAGGAGGTGATGGAGAAGGTAAAGGAGGGGATTTAAAGGCATATGGAGGTAGTGAAGAATGTGAAGGGGAAGGTGGGGACTTGTAGACTTGTGAAGGAGTTGATGCAGATGGTAGGGGAGGAGACTTATGGGTATATGAAGGTGGTGAAAAATGTGAAGAGGGAGGAGGGGACTTATAAACAAGCGATGGGGGAGGTGATGGAGGAGGAGACTTATGGGCATATAGAGGCGATGGAGAATGTGAAGGGGGAGGTGGGGACTTGTACACATGCGGAGGAGGAGGTGATGGAGATGATGGAGGAGGGGACTTAAGGGCTTATGAAGGTGGTGGAGAATGCGAAAGGGGACGAGGGGACTTGTAAACACATGGTGGGGGAGGTGATGGAGGAGGAGATTTATGGGCAGATAAAGGGGGTGGAGAATGTGAAAAGAGAGGTGGGGACTTGTACACACGCAGAGGATGAGGTGATGAAGAAGGTAGAGGAGGGGATTTAATGACATATGGAGGTAGTGGAGAATATGAAGGGGAAGGTGGGGACTTGTAGACATGTGGAGGAGGTGATGGAGATGGTAAAGGAGGAGACTTATGGGTATATGAAGGTGGTGAAAAATGTAAAAAGGGAGGAGGGGGCTTGTAAACACACAATAGGGGAGGTGATGGAGGAGGAGATTTATGGGCATATGGAGGTGGTGAAGAATGTGAAAGGGGAGGTGGGGACTTGTAGACTTGCGGAGGAGGTGACAGAGGAGGGGAGTTATGGTCATATGGAGGTTATGGAGAATGTGAAAGGGAAGGTGGGGACTTGTAAACATACAATGGAGGAGGTGATAGTGATGATGAGGGCAAAGACTTATGGATGTATGGACGTTGTGCAGAATGTGAAGGAGGTGGTGACTTGTATATGCTTGGAGGTAATTTAAAATGTGAAGGAGGTGGTGGGGATTTGTAAACTTGTGGAAGAGGTGATGACTTGTATATACTTGGTGATGGTGGGAAATCTGAAGGAGGGGATGGGGGATTATAAACTTGAGGTGGAGGTGAAGGAGACTTGTAAACATATGGTGGAAGAGGTGGTGAAGGTGAAAGCAGAGGGGGTGAATTAAAGATATATGGTGGAGTAGGCGATGGAGATGGTGGTGGAGGGGATTTGTAGGCATAAGAAGGTGGAGGTGAAGGAGACCGTGGCGGTGGAGATTTGTACTTGTGAGATTTGTGTGGTGGGTGGGGATTAGGGTGTGGTGGGTGGGGTTTGTGATGAGATTTGTCATCAGCAGCACTAACGCTAATGGCTAAGCAAAATGTTGCTGCCAACATGAGTAGAGGCCGCTGCGTCGGCCCTTTCCAAGTTCCCATCTTCTTTTGTGTATCTCCACTACTCTCTACTTGCTTCCCACAATGTGGATCCAACCCTTTATATAGTTGAAGCCCTCCGCCATGCCTGACTAGATTTCTTAGTTCAACGCATTGACAGCCTGGAATCTTCAACATCCCAAAGTCTCCCATTCATTTGATACTTCGTACAATATGGGCTTTGATCTAAGTCAGAAGAGAGAGTTGGCGAGGGCGTGACTGGATGAGGCCTATGTGGATATGTTAAATTATTGCAGAAGCGTGTTTGTGCAGTTAGTTTTGATTTTTTCCTTTGCATTTTTGACACCTCAGCTGCCTTTGAGATGTTTTAGAAGTGTGACACATACATATTTACCACGTCAAGCTAAACACTAGTGTTTCTTTACTTGATTTTCGTAATGGTACATAGTTTTTGGACAGCAACACAAACTTTTAGCACAATAATTCTATTAGCGAATGAATTGCTTCTTCAGCTTACCAGACGTCTTTGTCAATATGCATGCTAAACAGAAAATGATTAGGAAAACGTTAAATCAGTCTCTATCTTACAAAACGCCTGCATGTATTCAGCTTTATTGGGGTATATTATCCATTAGGAGATCATTCTTCTATTTTGTTGACGTGCATCGGTTAATGAGCATTAATTTGATGGTGTCCCTCATACAAACGGTAGAAGTACTGGAAATGAGCTCGTTAGTTCAAGATTAAGGAGGAGCTCATGATCTATATACGTCATTGTAATTCAAAACTGGGCCACATGACCTGATACAGTGTATGTACTCATCCCTCCCAAAAACGAGTGGCAAACAGAAGACTCCTGATGAATTATTGAATTAAAGAAGAAAAGAACAGGAGAAGGAAGGAGAGCTGCAAGCTTTTGATCGATTTGAAGACGTTTGCAGATAATTATAAGGCTCTAATACGACGAGCGTTTCACCCTCCACCTCATTACTCTTTCTTAATGGACATTTTAATCTGTGTTCAACATTGTCTTGTGCAATTTAAACTGTTCTTATGATCATAGAGTCAATTCATCAAATGAAACGTCTTTTCACATGAATTCATACCATATAATATGATTGCGTCAATTCGGAGTTGGAGCACCATCTATACTTCAATTTTATAGAGCCTAACGTAATGTTCTGACATGTTACTTTCGTTGACTTCCCTTTGATTATCCTGCCCACAAAATGAAACGAAAAAAATGAAGTCTCCCTTCCACATGTTGTCTACTTTCTGGGATACATCTGGGCTCGCTCCATCACGGCAACAATATGCTCTAGTCTACATATTAAAATTTTGTTAAAAAAACCGTCACTTGGTGCTTCTGTTATCGCAGCTTTTTGCCCTCAGAGTTCGATTGCAAAAAAGTTTGGCTTCCTATCATTCAATAAAAAAGCCAAAAAAAAAAAATTTAATTCTCCAACTTTTAATTTACTTATAACTCAGTCCTTCCACTATGATTTGTTGTGATTCAATTCCTCAACTCTGACTCGCTTATAACTTAGTCCCTCAATTTTTAATTTACTTAATTCAATCATTATTTTTTAATTTTTTTAAAAATTTCCTTATCAAATAAAAGGGATAAAAAATGCTCATATATTGTTTTAAAATACCCTCCTTTTGCTCTTTGATATGAGATCTAAACTAATGTAAGAAAAAAGAATTAATAAAAGTTGAGAGACTAAATTATAATTAAGTTAAAAGTTGAAAGATTGAGTTATAAACGAGTCATAATTCTTACAATAAGTTATAGTTGAGGGACTGAGTTATAAATAAATTAAAAGTTGGAGGACTAAAAAATTAATTTTTTCAAAAAACAATTACAAGTTTACAGCGTCTGGAACTCCTCAGTGCAGTTTTAAAATTCTATTTCAGATCTCCCATCAATGTGTAGATAATTGTTTCTTACTAAGAAAGCCTGCAATTTGTTGTAGATATATGAGCTCACATGTGCAAGCAATGGGTTCGTCTTCTCCGCGACAGAGATAATTAGAGAGAGAGAGAGAGGAAGTTGTGGAGTACTACATCTATATTGGAATATATTTCAGGCGGTGATCTTTCATACCCTAATATTCCTTCAGATTTTTGTTTAGGGATATCTTGAATTGTCGGTTGGCCGGCTTTCATCATATCATACAGCGTACAGTTAATATTGGTTAGAATAATTTTAACTTGCAGTTGTTTCTTTGCACATTTCCCTCATCTCAAGGCACACAGTTCACATAGCATCCTGTGTTACTGCTCAATTGAAATGGAAACCAAAAACTTGAAGAACTGAAAGGTGATTTTTGCCTTCAGTCACGGTGAGTTTTGGAGTCCACAGCTTTATAACTTGTGATTAACTTTCTTCAGGGATCTCTTGCTTCACGCATTGCCATAATGAATTGTCTTGCTCACCAATAGAAAAGAGGTAAACACAACTAATAGTGTATGTTATTTAAATTTCCCAAAACTTGGCCTAAAATTCAACTATAGTATACGCCATGCAAGTGATTTTATTTTTTTCTTTTTTTAAACGCCAGTAAAAAATATAAATTATGTAACAACATAAATCATAAATAGTACGACTTATTTTGAAATTCTATACGATGCAATACTCACGTTAATTTATTTATTAAAATAATACCATTTGAATGCTTTAATTACATTGACATATTGTCATTTTGACGAAGTCATCAATCATTCCATTAAAATAATAAGTATGCAATAATTATCGCATGCTCTTATTGACATTGGTGGTATTCTTCTGCTCCTTTTTATAAACACTTAAAAAGTTTTATAATTAATCGAGGATAAGGATAATAGGTGAAAAAAATTAACGCCTTGAACAAGACATATTTACTTAGAAAACACGCTAGAAGTCCTTGTAATAAGGATTGGAGGAAGTAGCATTTATAATTCTTATTAGTACAACCCTACAGACTGGTTTGATTTGTTATAACCAAATTCCATTAAAAAATTTTCTAGAAAGTAACTATTTATCAATTTAATCATTTAAATATAAAGACTTAATGATAGTACTTTCGGCATCTGAGATCCGGAATTGGAAGCATAAACATGAGTTGTACGCAAATCTTAAACGGAGGTTGCTTTTTGAATCAGTGCATTGCACAATTAGATCATTTGTATCTTTCAAGACAGCAATTATCAAGGATGCATTTTAGTGTGCACTGTGCTTCTCTGGCTCTGCACTAATTTTGATCCTTCAGCTAATCAGCTTGATCCCGTGTATAGACCAACTTGATATCCTTCAAAAAATTACATGACTTTTTACACGATGTTGTAACTTACCTGTCTTTAAGCATATAACAACCTTGTAAATGACTGCCACACCACGTATGATGATTTCAGTTAGTTCATTGTCACTAAGTTCATGCAAAACATCTCCTATAGGATAAATTATGACAACTTAGCCTTCAAGGAAGCTTCAGACCTAATCTTAGCACAACAGAGACATGTTATTGAAGGTTTCCGTTAAAATAGCCTGCAGTTGTGGCAAACATGTCGAGTTGACATGTGATACAGGTGAAATGAAGGCACACTTTATAAAAATATGAAAATAAAATAAATCCAGCCTCTCCAACACAACTATGATGCATTCTCATGGAATTTTCTTTTTCCCCCTAAAGTTAACCCACGTTATAGCTCTCATGTGAAGTAGATTCAAGAAACCCCACTAGATAATACCTGTCTAGGAAAGAAAGAAACAAATAATTTTGTATCTATCTAGATACCCAAACTCAAAAGGAAAACGCGAATGGATGCAGATCTCTTGAATTCACTGGCAGGTGATCATTTGCGTTTTGACGTATCAGAAAACACCTCTGTGTAACATATAGGGCAAGCCTTGAACAGGAAAACATTGAACACAAGCAAGAAGATAAAAGGTTAGCTATTTCAGCAGATAACAATTGTACACTGCTAGAACGGGGAGAGTACTTGACAAGTATGAACTCCTTGTCTTACCTTGTTGATGCTAAGCCATGTTGTTGCGCACCCAGCATGATATACATGTTTGCAAGGTAAGGTGATCCGTTTTTCCCCTCTTGCATATTCCATCTGGCAAATCACACATCTAAACCAGAAGACAAATTAGATCAACAAATTAAGCTAATGGAACCAAGACAAGATCTAGATACTTGAACTAATCCTCTGCCACATATATAATAGATGCGAGAAGGAATCAAAGAACTGCTCTAAATCATATCCCAAGCATATATCCTAAGGGTTCAAGTGTCATACTCAGTCCCTTTGTTACTTAACATTGGTAAGAAGTGCGCGCGTGGAGTATAGATAATAAGACATCCTATTATTTAGATACCACCTAGGTGGTTCTCCCATTTGATGTTGGTCAAAAACAAATTATTGACGTGGCATGAATATTTTTGTGCTAAATTTTGGTGGGAGTGGCTGTTGTATGGCCAAGGCCCTGCTCTCATTAAGAGTAGGGTTAATTCCCCACATCCGTGAGAATTGTACATGCGCACTCGTAGACAAATAGAACATTCCATTATTGGGGCACCACTCACATTTGATGCCTTTTCATTTAGTGTGGGTTTCAATTAATGCCAGTCCACAATAAAAAAGAAATCAAGAAGATGAGCATGAAATAAAGAAAGAGAAAAAAGATCCCAATTTTAAATCACACAAAAGAACCAATGACTGTATGATCATAAAAAGTTACCGATCCTATCTATCCTGGCTATCCAGTTAAATGTGAAAAGTTTGTTCTGATTTACAGCTTATGTCGAACAAAACTTACACCTTCGCCAATTGAAAGACTACTTTAGACCAGATTAGAACTGTAAATCGATGGTAAAATTGTTTATTCCCTAAAAATCGTCTGAGCCTAGAAGAATTTATCCTGCAGATTTTCTTTCCACTCCACTTTATTCTTCTTTAATTTGTAGTAATTTCCACACGCACTGCCGAACCAAGTATTTCAGCAAAGCTAGCTAGACATAAACTTAATTACTAAAGATAAACTCTGAAAGCAGAATTTTTAATCCTTACAACTAACTCTAGCATCATAAGAAATCAAATTGTTTAAAAACAATTAGCATGCAGTATATTAGTGATGAACTTTCAAAATTAGAAGCAAAACATTGGTAGATCCAGGAAGAAAAGATTAACAGAAAACGTTTGAATAGAAATTAAAAGAAAAATGAAAAATAGCACCGAAGAAGGAAAATTGCAAGCCTAAAATTACCTCTCATCCCGTGATTTTTTGCGTAAGAAAAACCCGCACTTGTACTTTGAAACTGGAAGCAGAGAAATCTGTTCTTGGGAGAGACCACGGCTTTGAGTTCCCACAGTCTCACCTAACTCAAGTAATTCCTGAAAAGGTAATATGTTATTAATATGTGAGAAGAAAGTTAAAGAATTAAGCAAGGTCTAAAGAGTCAAAAGTCCTTTTAAGAAACTTTCTAATGCAAATGGCAAACGTTTCCTTATTAACCGTTCTACTTAAGGCAATCTAGAGATAACTGTTAGAAGAAGCATCTTGGATTTTAAAGTTGAAATTTAGCTAGTAAGGAGATATAATAAGAATGTCAGGTTATTTGTGAAGTGATTTGACCCAACAATATTGTCTCAGGAGTAATTATCTCCATGTGGCACAATGATTAGTGCAAGAGGGTAAGGTTTTCTACTGTTAGTGAAGCATAACACAACAACCAAGGTAACATTAAATAAGTAATCACAAAAGTAGGCTCATATAATTAATTAGTTTATCTTGCAAGACTAAGTGTGTGTCTGGAACTTTGGCTTTGCACTCCAAAAAATAAGGCATCTAACAGCTCTAATTTGAGGAAGAGAAATATAAAGACTTATAACACAAGAATTTTGAGCCTCCCACTCCAACCTCATAGGACATGTTGTCAGGATCAATATTGTCTTGCCAAGTGACCTGCAAAGTATTAAAAAATGGCTCAGATCATCTTGTATTGTGCTTCCCATCGATGGATAAGCTATGGGTAACTGAAACAAACTACTTAAATATTCAATGCAATTAATAATTTTATGAACCAGACTTTCGGATGAAATACCTGATAGTCATGGGAATTATGACGTCTTCTTGGGCCTGGAATCAAAGAAAATAAGTTATTTAGTTTAAACCAAAGCACTTATACAATATGTAGAATCAAAGTGACAAATGGCAAGGTGACAAGAAATTCTATTGCCATTTCTCTACCAAAAAGGAAAAAAACTCAAAAAGGTTAAGGGTCCTGCAAGAATTAAGATAAATAAACACTTTTATATGGACTGACTACCATAATAGGACTCTGCATTTATCAAAGTCATTTTAATCTTGTTTCTCTTTTTCAGTAATTGAAAGATAATAAATGTCAAAACAAATCAATTTCATCCTTTCATAGAAAAACTAACGAGTTCTCATAAATGTTTAGCATTTATTTCCTTAGCAATGATTGGTGAAGACATACATAGGATAACAATTAAACAAGTTGTCTACTTTTTAAGTTTTTATACCAGTATAGTGTAACAGAAAGATAAGATAATTTACAAGACAACAGGAGTTTCAATCTTACAAAAACGTTGCAAAACATAGAAGAGATACCAGACTAATTGAAGACATTTTACTTCCTCAATATGAATAAAAGCTCTGTAGTTCAGCTAGTAGTTTCAAGAAGATACTTCCATGTGCAGGAAGCTGTACTCTTAAAAATACTGATGTGGATAAAAATCAGTGAACGGGATGCTTAATTCTCCTACATCAGATTTCACCACATTGTTATGTTCGCGCAGGAATGAACACTAAAGAAACTTACGTACCCTAAAATACAGTAATGGGAGTATAAACTGCAAATGCCATGCACTTTCTGAGGAATGCATACGTGGTCAAAACACATTGAATGAACAAAACTAGCTTACATTTGGTAACCCCACAGATGACTATAATTGTAGTTATAACATGCTAAACTGGTCGTTTTGTTGTTTTAATAATGCTGCTAGTGCGATGGCCTTCTGTATATCAAGAAAATCATCTCCAGATGAAAATTAAGAACTTACATTCAACAGAATTGTCTCGTGCAGGGTTGTTTACACCCTCACCCCATTCTGCACTTGCTGCTGCAGCATGTTCACTAAATATTGCTGTGTTCTCGGAAGGCCTTCTGTGTTCATCCATCAGTGGATCATGATTATTCACCGCATAACCATCACTGTAACGAGAGTATGATGTATTCTCAGGCTCAAATGGGCCAAACTTGTACAAACTTGTAGTTGATGGGTACAAGCTCTCCTGTGAATATTAAAGTAGATTTTTAATACTTCAGTTCTATTAAAGTTTCAGGTTGCATTCCATTCATAACAGAAGAACATTAAGAAAAATTACAAATACAGATAAGTATGCAGTGGTCTGTTCTATTATGTATACATAAAGAAATTTTGTCGGTTTAATATGGCAAATTGGGCAAGGATGCAGCATATATCAAAGTAAGCAAAGTCTTCCCAACAAGTCCACATAGACAAAATCAGAAAGATAAGAGTGCAATAGTTTCCATCAATCAGAAAAGATAATTTCTCAAATAGAATCTAGGTTATGTCTTTGTGGGCACCTGAGCATGTGAAGCACCAGAAAAAATGAAATTGACATGTTCGTAGGTTAGACCTTCAAAATATTCAATAAAGCTTCCTGCTGTATTGTAGGGATAGCTGATATTGTTGTATTGGACCTCCATGTGTGTGCTCCAACTCATTTTGAATTCTTTCAGTCAGACAATTGCTCTGCAGCGTGAAATTTACAGTCAAGTACAATAATATGCATGTTAGTGCAAAGGCAATGGGGCGCACATAAAGAAATACAAAAAGGCTTCTGTTCAAACATATATTTGCATCAAATATGGGAATCTGATTCATGGATTATTCAACAAACTTCCTGAAATTCACTTAAACAAGATTTAGTGTCCCACTATTGAGCTAATCCAAAAATCTAAACCCGCATAATTTAAATCGATAGGGATAGTCAGTGCATAGCGTACAGTGAGAAGCCAAAGCCGTTTTGATAGTTAAAGGCTTACAGCTTTAAGACCGCTTATTTACGTCAACCTCAAGCATCATAATACATCGTCAAGCATGCCTAATCATTCATTCGGCATCAAGAACTTCCGAATCAACCAAGGAAAACACTGGTACCACTGCGTATTTTAGACCCAAAATCTTCCCAATCAATCCAAAAAATCCATACGAAATGTGTTCTGTTTTGCTGCTCAGAAAATGCAGTACAATATCAAATTAAGTATAAATATTTAATCTTTTAAGACAAAAAATATTAAATAAGGTCCAGAAAAAAATCAAGCGACACTGTGACATGTGTGACTCATCAATCGAGATTTCGCTATTCAGTGCTGTGCACTTTCCAAAGAAACAATCTAGAAAACAGAAACCACAGGAGTACCTTATTAGACTCTAGCGCTCTCGAACATCAAAGATTATTCCAACTGGACTATCCAGGCAGAAAAATCTCGGTGCTTCCAGATTCTATTGCAAAATCATCGGTAAGTAACAAGCGAGGTTAGTCCCGAGAGTGAATGGATCGTAAACAGAAAAGTAGGAAGGAACAACAATGACAAGCATCAAAAAATTCGGATGAGATGAAGAGCAGGAAAGCTCGATTTGATACCAAAGCTATATGGATTGGTATTAAAGTGCCGACAACGGTCACTTTCGCAGATACCTTCTCTCTCACAGACAACAGCGCATGAGAATGAGAATGAGAGCGTCTTTGTTAAAGAATGGCTCTGTTTTGTAGCGCGCCCCCCCCCCCTTCTCTCTCTCTCTCTCTCTCTGTGGCTTTTCTCAGTGGTTTCAGGAACACGCGAACTTCGTTAGATAGATTATGATCAGCTGCATCGCACCTCTTTCTTCAACTGTTACTGTTTTCATTTTCCATTTTTCTTTTTCGAGAAAGAGGCAGAGAGAGACACTCAAAGAAAGTTTGCTCTTTTATGAAAATTATGCTTGATACCTCTGGAATAGAAGTTGGGGGTTAAACTACTTTTATGTAATTTTCTTATTTCCAGCAATTATGAAATTATACGAATGCTGCATAAGAAATATAAACTGCAGGCGGCAGTTGTTTTTCTATTATTAAGATGATGGCAAGTGGACCCCATCAATAATTTTGCCCAACAATATGCATGCACAGAGATTAAATGGGACTCTCACCGTTAATTCCCCCTCCCCCCCAAAAAAAAACCCACCCACCCACCCACACACACACACACACACACACACACACACACACACACTAGATTCTCTGTGGAGACACCTGGTGGTTGGCCGGTGTTCGGAAATTGAATTCTGAGAGATAAATGTGGTTAAAAGGTGGTGACCAAACAAAACCATCCCAACCAATTTGTTACGAGTCAAGCTTCCCTTTGGCATTCAACCATTTCTTTTTTTGTTTTCAAAAACAAAACAAAACAAAACAAAAACTGCTTTAATCAACCAAGCCCTATGATTCTTGTAAGTCATAACTAAGAGCTACGCTTGTTCCCTTTCCTCAAAATGGAAAAGCATCTTGAATGTGCCAGGCCATGGCCACGAAAATATAGCCCAACAGCCCAACTCATTTTACCAGCTTCAAATTTCTGTGTAGAATAAAAATTATCAGGCTGAAAGGAGCTTGTGAATTTTGATGGCAATGAAATATAATGAAAATGTGCGTGTACAGTTTGATAAAATTTGGAGAAGTTTATGTGAATTTTGATTTATTATGTTAATTAAAATGTGAATGTCGGATCATGGCATCTACGTGGAAGGGCATAGGAAAGAAAGGACATCTGAATCTGATATTGTGAGAGAAGAATGAAAAGGGCTTTGAAGCGTGGCATGCATGTGCGAGAAGATGGATCAATAATATAAATAAGGGGGCACGAGAATGAAACAAAAAGCATGGCGTGCAAGCCAAGTGAACCCCCCCGGACACATCATTTTATTCTCTTCTCATTCTTTTTGTCCGCAACGCCACACAGACAAAATGCCCAGTTGGCCATTACTACTTCCATACCCACTCACGCATGATACTCGCTCCGACGACAACTCACTCTGTTTAACAATGGTCGCATCTTTCTACCAAAATCCCACAAAGAAAATTATAGAGAGAGTTCATGTTCAGAAGTAAAGTATCACGCTTGTAAAAGCTTATCATTCGAGATTGCCACCTGTAGGGTAATCGCGATTGCTTATTATTGTTATTCTTCATCCATAAGCAATGATTAAATCTCAAGGTACGAAACTTAATAGACCAAATTACATATGATATTCCTAATCATAAATCACCATCGCGACCTCGGTCTGCACGGTGATGTACGTCATGTCCAAGAAATAAATACCCCACCGAAAGAATCTCCCGCCCTCGAATCATTCTTGATAATTTGAGCCAATGCTTATGAATGATGATGGTCCCTGCCTTAAGGTTTGCCTTGACGGTGCAGTTTTTTCTGACTTCTTTGAAACTTTAACATTACTGCCATATATAGCGGATAGTTTTAACAACCGTTTCATTAATTGAAGAAAATTAACCAAAGTAGGCTACAGCGATCTGGAGATCAAAATCTAAGTTTTTTTTTTTTTCCCGGGGGGTTGGGGGGGGGGACAGTGATGATGATCTCACCAAAATATGGATTCGGAAATTCATGTTTCTTGATCATACAAGGCAGAAAAGGGACAATTTTTCAAAAGTTTCAAGGGTTTCTCAAGTATGGAACGAGACTGTGGAGGCTATGAAGTATATCACGTAGTCGTTTTTTTCCTCTACAAAACAAAGGTGAAGCAGCAGGTCATCAAATAGGCTGTTGATTGATGAACTCGTCAGCCAAAAATGAAAAACTAAAACGAAGTTGAAAGCGTGCATTTTTAGTCAGTAGAGCATTCACGCGTGATGAATGGGCCTTATATTGAGCCATGGAGCACTTTTTGTTAATGGGCCAGAGGCTTATGACAGAAGACTAAGGGTTTATAATCGGTCCCAAGGTGCCAGTGTGCGGTGTGAAGAATTTGTGTTGTCTTCTCTCTCTGATATGCTTCGACTTCTTTCCTTTCTGTGAAGCTTCTTCCTCTTCTCTCTGTGGTTGTTGCAACTTCCCCATCTTACTTCTTTCCTTCTTATGTTTTCTATATCAGTGTTCTTGATTTTGTTTGAGACCATAACAATTGCGCTTTCATTGCCTTCCTGCTCTACACCGATGGAAGATGATGCTGAGGTTGAAGCTGTTTACCTTGGTATTCGGCGCAATCGCGATTGACTGGAGCCAAATCGACGTCACAATTTTCCTCACCTTGACCGTATTGATGCTCGGCTTGCTGTTATCAATCGTCGCTTGGGAATTGAAGACGAGCGTTTATCCGCATTGATTGGGGTTCCACCTCAGCTTCCACCGCCATCTTTAACGATGTTGACGCTACTCATAGTGTCTCTGTTCCTCACACACCTGTATCATCTTCATTTGACCACAACCAGATTGCTCTTGTTGATTTTAAAATTTCTACCCTCACCGATGTCTCTGAAGACATTGAAGATGTCGACCATGACCTTGGCCATTCCTTCTCGATTGGAGGTTTGTCTTCTCATATCGGTCCTCTGGGTGTGGGACCCATGGACCTTGTGTTACCCTCAATGTTGCCTTCACCCGCTGTGATGCACTCATTCTCTAACAACGTTGAGGCTGTTAACAATGACCTAACCAAACCTTAGACGAGGTGGCACTTATCGATGATTGTTGCAAGATTGTCTAATCCATTGATTCTGATAATTCAAGCTTTAATGACGTTTTTGTGCCAATTTCGTGGGTGATTGGTATTCTTCCCCCTTTTGTCGCATGTCAACCACAAATCTTCTGTGACAGATTTAAGGTGCGCCTCTGTTGACTGTGTTTGACACCCCAAGTCATTTTCCAAGTTTGCAGCATGACAATGCTAATAATGGTCCTCTACCCAACTATTGTCATACTGATACGAGGGATTTATTGGGGGTTGTTACTAGCATGCAAATGAGATTAGTCTTTGATCCTGGTAGCTAGTGTAATTTCAAATCCGTTGATGCATTTCATTATTACCGTCGCCTAATTCGTTGCTACCTTGAGCTGCATCCATGGTGTTTAACATATTCACTTTTTAAGGAGTTTTTTTATTTCAAAATATAAAATATTTTGAATAGATTAAAATTTTATTAAATACATTAATTCTTATATTACTTTTTTTCTCTTTATAATTAATTTTTGTCTTTTCTCTTTTTAATATATTAAATGAGTATTTTTGAAAATTTATATTTTTATTTGGGAAAGATAAGGTTGATAAGTATATTTAATGAATTTTATTGATATGTGAAATTTTATCTAAACATATCTTATAATTTGAGATGGAGGAAGTAATATTCACTTAAATTATTGACTTCTGTCTTAGTCTTCCAACCTTGAACTTATTCTTCACTGTGATGCTTGAGCTTCAAAATGCTAAAGGATATTGGTATTTGACTTTTCATGTTAAAGGCCATTTGCCATCTTTAGTTTTAGTAACGACAGATTTTGTTCAAGCTTTACGTCATGCATGGAGGAGGACTTACGCTGCTCTAAAGGTTCCTCTTAACTATTTTCATGCTTAAGCTCTTCCTTTTTAATTTTGATCCTCGAGCATTGAAGGTCAAGTTGCCACTTAAAGGGTCCAAAGCAAACACTTCTGGGTATGGAGAAGGTAATAACCTTTCCTCTCTACTAGTTGCTCAGTTTTCTATTCCCAGAGACTCCTTCAAGTCATTGCAGATTTATAAGACGGCATTTGGAAATGTTGTTGGTTCTGCTTTCTCCTCTTTAGCTACTTATTAGAGCATGAACAAGTCTAAGAGGCACTTGCAAGAATTAGTGAATATCAAAAGATTGATTTTGATGATTTGGATCACAAATACTTTTCTAACAATATTCTTCACGTGAATTATGAATGAGTGCCCATGGAGCTAAGTGCAGAAAATAAGTGGATAATTATAGAAGCTACTGATCTAGATAGCATTGCATAGGTTTCACAATTATTGGATACTTTTATTTGTTGCTTCTGTTTTTAAATTTGATGAAGGTAGTTGATGATACCTTGAAGACGATGCACCCTGGATTGGCATAACACTTTCCTTCTCACATCTTGTTTGGGAATGGCTGAAGTTTTTAGTTCTTGTCATCATTTGTTATTACTCTCTTGGCATCGCTTACAGATCTTACAAGCAACGAATTAGTTCTAACTTTACTTGGTCTTGACATTTTTTACCCTAATGATGAAAGGGCTCTTATTGCCAAAGCTCCATTTACTATAATTTGATGACACCTTGTTACACGAATATGTTTTGATTGGGCCTGCGGTCTTGACAATTGGAGTCATAAAAGATGGAGTCAACTCATTTATTCACTTCAGAATTTATTGGGTCTCTTCCATTTTAGCCTATTGGCATGGTTTGGATAAATCCTTTTAGACAAGTCCTATTTAATGAAACCGCTTGCATTTGAGGGGCTTTAATGCGCACTTATCTAAGGCTCTAAGCAATTCAACAAGACAAATGCTCTATAATTATCATGGTAGAGAAATTTTCATATAGACCCAATATATTATGTCATTTATAAATTATCCAATAAAAATATGCCATGTCATATGGCTATAAGATACCCTATTCCAAAAATCAAATTATTAGAAATAATGATATATAAGATTTCATTTTATTGAAATGGTGCAATTTTATTAGATTGTTTGCAAATGACATAGCATATTGGATCTATATGTTTCTCATCATTGTATTATTTCATTTATGTTACATTTCATCCCATTATTTTTTTTATAAAAAAGTTTAGGTGAGATGAATTTCAAGAACTCATTAAACTAAAGATATCTCCAAACTCAAATAACACTTACAAATATATTTAAAAATTATTAATAATGTCACCACATAATGATTTCACACTGTATCTTTACTAGGGTAGGCTTCTCTCCTCTGCCTTTTTTTTTCTATTGTCTCTCTTCTATAAATCTGGATCATTCAAATTAAACATGTATTTTTAAAAATTATTAAATTTAAATTTTTAAATCTATTTTAACGATTCAAATTTGTACTAATTTTTCCTTTTTTTCTTGTTTGCAAAGGAGAAATTTTAGCTCCATCTTTACTACCCTATTTGGTACATGGAAGTGATTTCAATGAAAGTGGAAATAGAAGTTGAGTTAGAAATGAAAACAAAATTTAAAAGTATGTTTGGTATGTAAGTGAAAGTGAGATAAAATATTATTTAAAAAATATATTTATATTTTGAAATGGCCAATATACCTATAAAATTTATAAAAAAAAAGAAAAAGAAGAAAGTCTCCATCTTCTTTGCATCGCTATACAAGACATGAACTTTATCAAAATTTATGAATGCCAGCAAACATAAACTTCCAACGACCAACAAACTCAAAACAACAATTTACTTCATCATTTACAACCAAGATTCATTGAAGAGTATGAATCAAATTTTAGAAAAATCCAAAAAAAAATTATGAACTCAATTGTTCACATAGCAATTGCACAAAAAAAATCCAAAAATGTAGATCTACACCAAAAAAAAACAATAGCAACCTATATTTGTATCAATGGAATCCAGACCTCTCCTCCTCATTGTTCCTTAATGATGCCTCACACTATAGTTTCCTTCTTTTATCATTGTCATCGAGCTCGCCTTCTCTACTCCCCCTATTTCTCTGATCTCTATTGCCGTTGCTCCTTACTTCCCAACTCTATTTTCTTCACTCCTATTGAACAAAATTGACGTTCGATATCATCATAGAAGATGTGGACATAGCTAAGATCATTGTTGATGAGGCAGTCAATTGAGGATGTTGAGGAATCAAGTTCTTTGAAAAGGTAGCCATGGTTTGAGGTCTGAGGAGAAGGAGATAGATGACAGAGGACCAAGAGAGAAGCCATATTTTGAGGACTGTGGTCATGATAGTGAAATTGCTCAAGTAACACGATGGGCTAAAGAAAAGGGTGGGTGACAACAGATAATCAATGATTTAGGGTGAAAATGAGAAAGGTATAAGTTGTTAATAAATTAAATTGTCATGGGTATGAGTGTCAAGAAAATTTAAGTTCCATGGAAGTGAACCACTTCTTTAGGTAGTTTGATGGAACCAAATTCTATTAGATTTGATAGAATTGGGTTCTTTTAGGAACTAGGATTTTGCCTACCAAGCAGTTAACAAAATGACTTTCACTTCCACTTCCCTCTTTCTAATGCCATGCTACCAAACGCAACATACATCCTTATTAATTGAACTAAGTTGTTTCCATTAATTGCATTTATTATTACTATATTAGGTGGGATTATGTGAAGGGGCTCTAACTATGTCCTGTCATTTTTCCATACAAAGGAATGACAAAACTGTCAATAATTTTTTTTGTAATAAATACTTAAAAATCTTCATTCAAAACGAAAGAAAACAAGGACAAAAAGTTCGAACGAGAACAAGAAGCCAAGCAAGAAAACAAAGACCAAAAGCCACACAAAACTATCTAAAGGCAAGCAAGAAAACAAAGACCAAAAGCCACACAAAACTATCTAATAGGTGGTTGGTCGAAAAGAATAAAAAAAAAGAAAGTCTATGAGCAAGCTTGGCCAGATGATCTGCCATGCGCTTCTCCTCTCTATACACAAAATGTAAAAAATCATTAATGAAATTTTGATAAAAAGAGAAAAGTGGGGGTGCAGGAGTAACACGTGCACCCAATAATAACTTCCCACGTCATCCCAAGAGTCTAATCAGATTCAATAAAAGGGGGAGGAGGGCCTCTCTCTCTCTCTTCCTTTACTTTTTCCATCTTAATCATTCAATAAAAATGGTCATTAGCAGAAAAAGAAAGCCCTCTTTCTCCCTCACCTTTGCCTTCAATGCTCATTAAGTAATAAGTATTTAAATTATTCAATTTTTAATTTAAATAATCTAAAATTGAATTTTTTTATTATAAAAATTTAATAAATTTATTTTATTATTAATCTAAACAATACTTTAATTTAATATTTATTTTTTATAATTTTTATAACTTAACTATTCAAATATATTTTGAACATTTTATATTTAATATTAAAAGTTTTCAAAAATTTTATTAAATTTTATTTAATAAATATACTAAAAAACAAAAGTAATTTTTAAACTTTCACTTTAAAAAATTAATAAAATTATAATTTAAAAATTATAAAAATATTTAATATTGAATTGGATTTAGATTAAATTTGTTTAATTTAAAAATTATAAAAATATTTAATATTGAATCGGATTTAGATTAAATTTATTTAGTCTAAATTAATAATAGAATAGATTTGTTATAATTTATATTTTTTATTTTAATGTATACAAATAAAATATAAAAATAAAACTTTTAATTGGACCGTCAAATTGCTTATCACTATCACCCGATGAGGATCGAAATCGAACTCCCCTCCCTCTCGCCTAGCTCTTTCCTCGGCTCTGCCCTCTCTCCTTATCGGTCCAAAATCTCCAAGGGCTAGCGTTTCGTTCTTGTTATTTATTTTCTACTTTTTATCATCTTTTTCTTGTTCCGTTATGTTTTTTGATTTTTAATAATTCATTTTCGTTCGGTGTTTCATTTGGTTAATTCAGGACTCATCCAATGCGACGCTGAGCCTATAGATCGGTCTCAAGGTTTCATTTCCCGCGATTTCCTTTTTCTTCCTGCCCAACAGGTTAGATTATGGCTCGCAATACTTTACTGGATGGCTCTAGCTTCATAATGTTGTCGTCTAGTTTTAATTGTCTGTTTTATATGTTGTTAGATGGAAAATTGGAAATACAAAGTTGTATGCAGGTTCGAAGAAAATATTAAATATTGGGGACAGGGCCTCCGCTCACGTGGCATGCTGCCATATTGATTTTTCTATAAATTGTAAATTAAAAATTTTCGGCGCACGGACCCAATTGCATGTTTTCGTTTGATGTTTCAGTTCAGAGCCCTGTTATCTGATAATACGCATAAATGTTCTGGCAATAGTATATAAACTTGCCTGACTACTACTCAATAGTTTTTTGATTTTGTTGCTATTTTCCACTTTGATTCAGTGGCTTTGACTGCTGGTGTTGTTTGTATGTTGATCCACAGTTGATATTCGTTGTCTTCACACTTTCCTTAATCAAAACGTTTTAATTCTCGAATAGATGGTGGGTTTCAATGGATATTCTATTTTGTTAATTCAAAGGAGGATGGAATTTTTTTTTAAAAATATACTGTATATGACCTTAAAAGGCTTGTGATCTGACACGCCCATCAAACAGGTCATAAGCACAATTGTGAGCTGAAGAATCATATATGCACCGGAAAAAATGGAGCTTTGTTGAATATTAGACTCGCTAAGAAGTCTTAGGATGCTGCTATCTGAATATTATATTTCCTTCAGCTCTGCTTTTCAATGCATTACGCTCTAGTTTTTATAACAGAAATAAGGTCAATACATAAGCCGGAAGGAATGTGGCAGTTTACTTTGATACTTCTTCAGCTGATGTAGGAGAACTATTGCCTTTACTTGTGCACCATGCAAGTTGTGCACCAGAACAATGAGACCATGCAGTTGGTTTGATGTGTTTAGATTTCACTTCCAGCCTGTAAAATTAATCAAGTTAACTCACTATTCCCTTTGGTCTGGTTGCTAATTTACATAACACCCATGGTTGATGCATGAGTCTCTCCCCCTTGTATGGTCTATGATGTTGGGATAGATATGCCGCGAACACCAATTTTTTGGGTGAAAGATACAATCATTTTGCTACTGTATGTCATGTGCATGACCGATTCTGCGTAGGTGGTGGTGGAAACTTATCATTATTTGCTCTTCGTTTTGATCTTGATCAATGTAGTTAAAGGAGCTTGCCTTTGTGCCTTATGCGCTAAGGCAAGGCATCAAAGACCCTTAGTGCCTCAGCCTCTCATGCTATAGGGGTGTTGAGTTAAGTCAGGCACCAAAGATAAGTGCTGGGTTAAGAAGTAAGACATTAACAAAAGGTCTGAGTCGTGGTTGACTCTAAGAAGATGCAAGATTCGGGTACCAGTTAATGTGTAATTTTTTAAACACTGAAGAGAGTTGGAGCCTTGGTGAACTTGGTTTGGAGCTGTTATGTTGGACTTTTCTTGAGGTTTGGTTCCAGCATGTAAAACAAATCAAGTCAACTTGGTGTTCCCTTTGGTCTGGTGGACTGTTAACGTGATGCATATTGTTGATGATACAGGGTTCTCTAGCTTTTGTGTAGTTCATGGCGTTGAAATAGATAAGCTGCTGAAACCTTTTTTGGGTGGAAGCTACAACCATTTTACTATGCATATCATGCTAACGAGCAATTCCAAGTAGTTGGGGTTGGAATTTTATCAGTAGTTTGCATTTCTTTTTGAGCGTTATGTATGGTGCTGGAACTATGTATTTTCATTTGCCACTTCATTTGTGTGCAGTGTTTGATGATAACTTGCACTTCTCGACTTTTTTTTTTTTTTTTGAGGTTATTTGATTCACCTGTTATCACTTTATAATATATGGTGACTCTATCTTGGTTAACTACCAAGATCAAAGTATTGAACTTTGGGCTTTATGTTTTTCGATCTTGCATTTGCATGATTGGAAAATGTGAATACAGGGAAAAACAAGTCCAACTCCGAGTGAAATATATCTATTGTTGAGACAGTGATTTGATGAATTGATTTTGGATGTTTAAACATGTAAATTTCTATTTCTTTGGTGTAGGGAAAGTTGAGAAAAGATGGACCATGGCAAGACTGGATGTCAAACTCCTCCAGAAGGTCCTATATTGTGCATCAATAACTGTGGATTTCTTGGAAGTGCTGCCACCATGAACATGTGTTCTAAGTGCCATAAAGATATGATGTTGAAACAGGAGCAGGCGCTTGCGGCATCGTCCATTGGGAATATTATGAATGGGTCATCAAGCAGCAGTGGAAATGAACCTTTTGTTTCTGCGAATGTGAATACCCCAGTCAATTCAGTAGAGCCTAAAACTACATCTGAAGAACCTTGTTTGGCTTCAGGCTCAAAGGAGAGTGGTGAGGCAAAGCCGAAGGATGGACCCAAACGCTGCAATAGCTGCAATAAGCGGGTTGGTTTGACAGGGTTCAGTTGTCGATGTGGTAACCTTTTCTGCGCCGCACACCGCTACTCGGACAAGCATGATTGCTCCTTTGATTACCGCACTGCTGCAAGGGATGCCATATCTAAAGCAAACCCAATTGTTAAGGCTGAAAAGCTTGGTAAGATTTAGGCCTGGTGTATTGAAGTTTTTCCCTAGTTGATGTTATGCTCGATTTCATCGTGAGATGACCCAAGTTTCCTGCTTTTTTTAATGTTGTTGTTGTATGTGGTGGGGAGTTTAGAATTGTAGGACACATCTGCAGTTTGAGGCACTATTTCATGTGATCGGAGAAAAAAATATATGCTGGTCCAATTGTTTGAAGTCTTTAAATCTGTGCTGGTTTGGTGCAAGTTGGTTTATTAGCGCTGTAGTGCGCCTATTCTATCATGGCATCTGTGTACCATGTGGAATTTGCTGGGCACTGTAAATTATTATGGTTTCATATATGCATTGTTTGGGCTCGCTAGTTTCCACATGCCAGAGAATATAAAGAGGCTTGCATGATTTTAACCAAAAGAAAAAAAATAATAAGATACCATATTTGGAAAAACACGATATTTTCACATCATTGTTATACTGATGTTATAAAAACACGGTGCAACATATCGCTGGTAGTCTTGAAAAACGCAGGAAGAATCACAGGAATGAGTATGATGCGAGGAACAAGAAATTGGATTGAAGTTGGACGATGATTCAGAACATACGGTTTCAGGAGAAATAGGCAAATAAATTAGAAAGTTGAATGCGTACTTGAAAAGAGAAATGTGGCTAAAAATAGTTAAATTGGAAGGCTCTATCTGAAGACAGAAGATCGCATGGACTCAATGAGGACCAAAGAAACGGCTGTATTGAGGTTGAAATATATGCGTTACATAACCGCCTTCATGAAGAGAATCCGGCGGAAGCAAGTGATGAAGCAATGGGTGGGAAAAGATTGGAATACGGCAATGATCCACAATTACACATCACGCGGGAGGCAAACGCTGACCCGTGCAGGGGTCAATGGCAATCATATGACCTCTATTTTTGACGAGGCTTCCTGGGAACCCTTGTGTAGAATGATTTACGAGCCCCCTTCCATTATCCACAAAAGGAAAGGGGGATCTAATCTACTGCACTGAACTAGTCACCATGAACATAGACTCGTGCGCTCACGGTTCTAAACGACAACATCAAGAGACGTCTCAAATTCTCTTGACAACATCTTACATCAATCTTAACGGGCAGGAAACGCAACAAACCTCCACTCACACGATATCGCTTGTCCAAAAATTGCTTCTTTTGCCGTATCAAAGTTCGGTTAACAGACCCGAGACCCGCCTTCTCTGCATAACTCTAACGCGATTCTCTCATTTATTGTAAATCTAATACCCGAAATAAAATCATCAAGGTGCAATTACAGAGCAAGGCCACTAGACTCTGCTTCAAGATATTTACATATCCTCTCCATAACCTCTCTTCCCTTGGCACTATTCTGAAGGAACCTCTCAGCACATCGCTGCTCCACTTTTTCCGCCATGGATGCCAGTGTTGACAGTGGTTTAATACGGATGCGAGTCTCCTGCTGGCAAATTGTCCACCCACTGGGATTGTCAGGATGAGGATCATATCGAATCTTCTCCTCCACTTCCACAAACTTCTGGAGGCTGATATTGCGTGTAGTTAACTGCATTGACCGCGTCTGTGCATCCACAACTGTTGATTCAACACAGTGGCAAATATCCTGACCAACAATTTTGCGGACAAACCATGGTCCTGGACAATGGATCGTGATAGCTCGGGTGGTATAAAGCTTCCCAGATGGGGGGTCAAGCCTGCGGTTCAACGTGTCAACTTCTAAAATATGGGATAATATACGCTTGTTCTCGGGGTCAGCGAACTTGCGCCAAGATGCGCAAGTTACCCGTTCCCATGGGTGCCTGTAAGTGTACTCCTGCGTGTATGCTTTCACCATAACTCTCCTTCACCATCAAAAAGTAACAGAAAATCAGTCAACTCGTGAGATTCGATTTATCTCGTGCATTTAAAAAATACGCACCATAGCTTACTACACATGATCAAATTTTAAATGGTATCTATCTAACATATTAGACACCAGATAAAGCAATACACTAAATGAAATATTTTCTACAATTGAAGGAAATAATTACTTCAAGTTCAGATGCCAGATTTAAGACTTTCATGCCCTTCTCTACGAAGTATGAAATAAAGATAATTCAATCAACTAAAGCTGAATCAATGAAAACCCAGATAAATCATCATTTACTTCAGGCAAGGCAACCTACAGGGAAATGGTTCATTAAAAACCTAAAATTCCACTAATTCATGCCGTTTACGATTACATTAGCATCCTGAGAGCGCGGTTTGCATGTTCAACAAATGGTACATGAAGTGATCGGTTGTCCTCCCAGAAACTATGAAGGAGAGGGGCGGGGGAAAAAAAAAACACACACACACACTCTCTCACGGAGAGGTAACGAAGTGTTGATTTGATAGATATCGAGAGAAACAGCCTTCAAGTAACAAAGTTGGAGCCGGCTAACAGAAAGTATGGGGATTTGCATAGAATTCCTTAAAATGGAAAAGGAATTTGGGCGGGGAGCGCATGAAAAGGGAGATAAGACGAAAGAGAAGATTGGAGAAGGAAAAGAATCAGAGAAGAGAAGGCAATACCTTGAACAAAATCGTCGAAGGCTGGAAGATCCCAGATGGAGAGAGGGAGAGGCTCGGAGAAGGAGGACGAGAAAATAATATCCGATCCGAATACTACAGCCCACAGGGAGCAAAGGAAAGTGCTGGGAAGAACAAAAAGACCATCTATGTTTGATTGGATTATGGCCCATTAAAAACAGTTGGGCTCAGATAGCAAAAAAATTGGGCCGGCAATGGAATGAAATGGGATTTCTTCCTGGCCCCCTCATAACACAAATAATTTCTTCCTTCTGAATTTTGACTACAATTTTGGAGACTTTATCAAACGAAATTGTGGGGACATAAAATTTGGCTTTTTCAGAAAAAAATTTATTCTCGCTAATATTTTAGATCTATTTATTTAAGATTAAAAAATAATTAATTTTTAGATGGTTTAGAGATTTTATAAAAAGAGATTTATTTTACAGAGATTTTATAAAAAGCAAACATTATTTTATATTTAATTATAATAATAAAAAAGTAATTATTTGTTGGTTATTTTTAAATTTTATGATATATTTTTTGATTTTTGTTTTATGAAAATAATTTATTATTAATGTATTTTAAAACTTTATGATATATTCATGTGTCCCTCATCTTTAAAACACTCATACTTCTCTACTGCATTAAATTATTTTCAGAAGTTATTTAAAGAAATTTTTTAAAATAATAAGAAATATTTTTTTTAGATTTTGGTTATTTTTAAAAATTTAAATAAACATTATAAAAAATCACAAAATAATTTTTTTAAAAAAATCAAATATTTTTTCACGAAGTAAGTTGAAACAAACAAGCCTTTATGCTTCATAAATCATAGTCAGCGCATCAATATTTATATAAGGGTATGCAAATGTAAGAATAAAATAAAATTTATAATAATATATGTTATATATACTCCCTCTATTTAAAAATATAAAGTATTTTTAATTGAATCTCACCTGCTAATAAAATAATTATTTATTTTTAAATTGATCATACCTTTTTATATATATCTCTATTAAATACCTTATAATAAATATAAAGTCATTCATTAATGGGAGTATTTTTTTTTTAAAAAGCAATAATTACACCTTGAAAAACTAAAAATATCTTATATTTTTAAACATTCAACTTCTCAAAAAATACCTTATATTTACAAATGGAGGAAGTATAAGTTATGAATGATATAATTCATTTTAAATTCCAAATATATATAAAGGAACGACCGCTAAATTTAAATCGTAACAAACGATTTGATCCCATATTTTATGGTTTATGAATAATATACAGTGCTCTCCAATTCTCCAAACCATGAGTCTAGTTCTAATTCTGGTAAGTCCAGTTCAAGTAGCATTATACTAACTAACTTGTTGATGTACATGATGATCACTGACATATATAATACAAATGAGCCTCAATCAAAATAAGCAAATTCTAGCTTATGATATTTTGCTGCACAGGACGACAATATCAACACCTTGGCTCTTACAACCTCATCATCATTTTTCAGTCTCCGCAACTCGCAAGTTTCATTTTCAGGATCCTTACATTTTTTTATTAATACAAAAATCAATTTCTAAAACAATTAAAAATAATTATCTAAATCAGTTTGAATAAGATCGGTTTAAATATGTGAGGCAAATATATACAACCAATTTAGAATAAACTTATTCTAAACCAGTTGTTAAACTGATTTAGAAACAACCAGTTTAAATAAATATTCAAAACATAAATTATTAATTTTGTCCTTAAAAAAAGTTCATTTCTAAACTGGTCATAGTCTATTTACATATATTATATCTAAATTGATTATAATCATAACTGATTAAAAAAATTGTATTCTACAAAAAAAAAATTCATTTTTGCATTTACCCTAGCTATAATAGGCTATAGTTTTAGTACTAAAAAAAAAAATTAATCCATTACTAATAAGCAAAATCCATCACTAATTTTAGCTTTAGTGGCATCATTAATTTCTGTCACAAATATGATATTACTAATTTAATGATAGAAACAGATCTGTCACTAATTTAGTGATGAAAAATATTTGTTATTAATTAACAAACTTTCATCATTAATTTTTCTATAATTAATTTTTTTTTGAGAATTCAATCACTATCAGTCACCTCTCATGCCACCTCATCAGTGCACATTATTGCCATTTGAACCTCCACATCACATCATTACCATGTCAACAATTTTATTTAAATGTGCAGTTATCTTATTTCAAACCCAAGACTGTTTCATTTTTGTATGTGTACCTTCTCCCAGTTGAGTTGTGATGATTCATTCTTAATACGCAAAATTTAACATAAAATTAATAAGCATCCAAACCTTAAAATATTACTCAAATAACATATAATGGACCCTAAACTATTAAAATAAGCAAAAAATTTCATTAACTTGTAAAGCAAATTACCCCCACCATTTATCCGTGCAATGTTCACCATTGTGTAACTTAATTGACATGTCACCTGTCAATAGAGGATTAGTGCCACAATAGCCTTTGACTTGAACCTATAAAGTCAAAAGTAACATCAATTACATATAACTTAATAGGGGGTAATTTGTTTAAAATTTATAAGTTAAGGGTAATTTATTTGAAATTTGTAAATTGAGAAGAGTTTTTGCTCATTTTAAGAGTTTAGGGTTCAAAGTACTATTGAAATAATAATTTAGGGTCAAGCATTTTCATCAACCCTTTAATATATAAATATATATGTATATATGTATGTATGTATGCATGTATGTATTACTCAATTGAACACAAATATTTAACTTAATGTATTTTTATATATTTAATATAATATTATTTAAATATGTCAATAATATATATTATCATATATACATACATTAACACATATAAATATATAATTCAATATTTATGATTAGTTGATAAATAAATTATTTAATATCAATTAATATATATTATAAAAATAAATATTTGTGTCTATCATTTTATTCATCTATGTTATAATTAAAATATTTTAATATAATAAAATTTTTATTTTAAATTTAAATTTACATAATAAAATAAAAATTATTTTTTCATATCATTTCATATTATATATTTTATTCATAAAAAGAGAAAAATTATTTGTGAAAGTATTTAATTTTATAACATTAAAGATTTTTTTATGTGAATCTCTCTCTGTATGTTATAAAATCTTCTTTTTATAATATATTTAAGCTCATTTTACTATTTTTTAATTAAAAATATTTGTCACTATTATAAAGATTTAATGATGATGAAAATTAGTGACTGATTTAAATTTTTCACACCTCAAAATTTAAGTATTACTGGCTCAAGATATACACAAGAACTCACATCTCTTGAGCCTTAGTACCATCTCATATAATTTAATTATAACATGTTCATAGTATTAAGTGGGGTTCCTTATTTAATTTTATTTTATTTAAAACAAAAGTCATAAATTCTTTATGGGAATTTACTATAGAACCTCCTAAAATTTTACAACAACAATTTCAACCTAAACAACAATAAGAAATTTTGTTTTTATCAATAGACAAACAAATAATAGTTAATCAATATAAGGATCCTAACTATAATTTATGTGAAACATTTAAAATAAAATTTTATAAATTACATAGTATAGTATATAAATTCAAGTTTGACAACAAATAGAAATTTATTCAAATTAATGCTATAACTTCAATTTGGAAATATATCCTTCAATGATCCTCTGGAGGTCCATAACTGTCTACAATATTTGAGACTAATTTTTTTTCAGTAAATAACATCTCAATAATAAAATTAAAAGCTTCAAGATAAATAAATTCATCAAATAAATTAGTGCACAATTAAAAGAGAACATCAATATAACACAATAATTGAATTTGGAGATTAAGAGATTCTATATAACTTTAAAAGTTTGAACCAATAAATTTACAATGACAAAACCTTAGTACTTGATCTTGTAAAATAAAATAAATTAAGTAAATAAAAATAGTAACAATCACTGTTTAAAATTAATAAAGGGTGTATATATATTCACAAATCAATTAACTAAACCTTAGAATAGATAACAAACGTAGACACACAATTCACAAGAATAAATAACTAAACGTGACTTACGCCATGAAAATAAATGCAAACACACAATTTATAAGGATAGATAACTAAATATAGCAAAAGCAATGAAACAAATATTAACACACAGTTCACCAGGGTGATACTAATCGAATGCAACTTGAAGTCACAAAAACAAACACAAGTACAAGACCTATAAGTAACAAATATAAGTGCAATGCCCACAAATATCAAACATGAGAGCTATGCCCACAAGTACCAAGCTAGCTAGGTTTCACCATGGCACTAAGGACTAATGGAGTTACTGTTAACAACCAGTGTTCTGCGTATGATCCTTTAAAAGTAAAATTTTCAAACATGAAAAAAATTAATTATTTTTAAAATAAAATTTTATATTCTTAATATCAAACTCGCATGAGAATTTCAAAATCTCAATTCTTTTCAATATAAAATTCTTCACTTATTTCACGTTTGCCTTCATCAAATAAAAAAAGTAATACTTGAGCTAGTAAAACTTTTTCATCAACCTTCAAGATATGCTTTATAATGAATATATATATATATATATATATATATTACTATTGTAACACACCAAATTTTTTTTTTAAATAATTTAACTCAACCATAGTTGGGTTACAGCCACCCAACACATTTTTATATCAATAATTTCGATATAAAATATTTTATAATTGGCTTCAACTCACACACTATAACATTTCAGATAAATTTTTACCTCCCACATGCCATTAGGCTAAATCACATTTGTCCATCCTTATACTCCCAACAAGTAAACTAAATCACATTTGTCCATCCTTATACTCCCAACAAGTAAAATAAACAATTTAGTCAGTTTTCAACACAAGCCAGTTATTTGGCCTTATAATCATGCCATTTTAACCAATCCAAAGTAAACCAAATATTAAAATTACAGTCATCCAAATTGTACCAAAAATAGAAATAGTTTGAAAGACATGATTACATTTATATATTCATATAATTGACAATAAACAAAAAGCCCTAATATTGGCAATATAACACATTATAAATCATAAATTAAATACCCAAAAGAGACAGTGGATCTATACCACTAAGCCTCTGGGACTCCTCCACGTGTCACTCGTGGCTCTTCTCCTGAAAATTGTTAACCACATAATGAGACTCAAAAGTCCCAGTAACCAAAGCCAATTTATGATAGTGTATACAAACAGTTAAGTGTGTGCTTACTAAGTGAGAATTAAAAATAATATAATTCCAACAAATATAAGAAATATTATAATACACACAAACAACCATCCTTATATCCCTCCATTAACCTCGAGCCGTAGCCCTCACTCGGTGCTAAATTACCCGGCCAAAGGTAGATTAGCCCGAGCCCTTACAAGCCACCTATTGAGCTCCAATAGGGGCGTACCACGTGGCACATAAATACAACAATAATAGCAAGTCTCCCAACACCTCCCACAATAATTAAACAAATTCATAATAATATTGCACAATTATACAATATTACAAAATTCATAATTTTCTCAATAATCACCCAATTAACAAGAAGTAACACTAATCATAAATTAAAAGCATGGTTACCTTGTGGCTTTTTCAATAAATTATTCCTTAAAATTTCTCTCTCACCACAATCTTCACCAGTAATACAATCTACAAATAACATATTATTTATAAATATTAGTTTCAATTTTTGAAACTAATAAAATAATTCTAATAATAGAATTAAAAATATAACATAATTCCTAATCTCAATCTTAATACAAATCTATAGTTAATACTATTAAGTATAATTTTTAACTCCTCTTTTAATTATCAATAAACATTAATAATCTAAAAATCAACTTCTAAACTAATTTCTATTATCAAAATTTTTTTTTATTTCATAAATTCGTACCTAAAATACTCAAAAATTAAAAATTAAGTCTCTAGCTTAGAATCATAATCCTATAACCATAATAATTCATTTCTCATCCCAAATAATCATCTAAACCTCAATAAATCAACATATATTTTCAGATCTAGTTTAGAATTTGATCCATAAGCCACAGATTCAAAGATCATCAATAAATTTATACTCTAGAACATTTATTATACTACTGACAACCTCAAAAACCATATTTATTCAACATAAATTCATCCCTCTTCAGATCTTAAATTTTCTACCACTACAAACTCAGAAACTAAAGAAGAAGGATGACTAAGAAAAATTTTTAGAACACTTACTTAGTCTTGAAAAGCTTAAAATCACACCCTAAATATCCTATTAAAAACTCTTACCTTAAAAATTTAGATATTTCGCACCGGCAACTCGCTTCTCTCCGCCTCAGCTCGCGCGCAGAATGAATGAGGAAATGAAGGAAGGTGAGTTTTTATAAAAATTCAGTGGGTCCCACACATTTTTTTTTATTATTATTTCTTCTTCTCTCTCTTCCCCCCTTTTTTTTTATTATTATTTTATACTTACTATTCATGCGGCGCCGAAAGCAAATTCGTTTTCTCTTCTTCTTCCTTTTTTTTTTTTGGCATACCTTTTTCCCTTTTTTTTTATTATAATAATAATTTAATAATTAATTTTTTTAATTAATTTTTTTAATAAATTTATTTATTTTATTTTTTTTTAAATTTAGAATTATATCCTAAATTAGATTTAATAATCATTTTCTACTAATTTTCTTACCTCTAAATATTATTATTATTTTTTTTAAAAAAAATTTCTATTAACCTAAATTAACTATTAAAATTTAAATTGGGATGTTACAATTCTCCCCTCCTTTTAGAAATTTTGTCCTCAAAATTTAAAATTAATAACTATTAACTACTCACTTAATCAAAAAGACGAGGATAATCACGTCGCATACTGTCCTCGGTCTCCCACGTAGCATCACCTGGAGTTGTGCTCTTCCAGATTACTTTAACCAATCTAATGGTCTTGTTTCTTAATTGCTTGTCCTTATAATCCACAATCCTTTCTGGTTCAGCTTTGAATGTTAAATTCTCCCTGAGTTCAATTTCCTCGGGTTCAATTATATGGGAAGGATCTGGTTGATACTTTTTCAGTTGTGACACATGGAATACGTTGTGTATTCCAGCAATTTGGGGTGGTAATGCTACTTGGTACGCTACTGGTCCAACTCGTTTTAAGATCTCAAAAGGCCCCATAAACCTTGGTGTCAACTTCTTAGCCTTAATAGCTCTTCCAACACCAGTTACCGGAGAGATTTTCAAAAATATATGGTCACCTACTTCAAACTCAAGCGGTCTTCTCCTCTTATCCGCATAACTCTTTTGTCTACTTTGAGCTGTGAGTAATTTTTGCTTGATTAAAGCAATCTTTTGGGTAGTCTCATCAACAATGTCTGGCCCCAAAACAGTTCTCTCACTTAATTCTGTCCAACACAGTGGCGATCTACATTTTCTTCCATACAATGCCTCATAAGGTGCCATCTGAATGCTAGAATGAAAACTATTATTGTAGGCAAATTCAGCTAATGGCAAGTGACTATCCCAATTACCTCTAAGCTCAATGGCACAAGCTCTTAACATGTCTTCAAGAGTTTGTATGGTTCGTTCCGTTTGCCCATCGGTCTGGGGGTGGTAAGCTGTGCTAAAACTCAGACGAGTACCCATGGCTTCCTGTAATGACTTCCAAAAGTTTGATGTGAATCTCGGATCACGATCAGATACAATATTTGTCGGCACTCCATGCAATCTCACCACTTCTCTTATGTAGATTTCAGTTAATTTTTCGAGAGAATACTTGATATTAGTAGCCAGAAAATGAGCTGATTTGGTGAGTCGATCTACGATTACCCATATAGTGTCATGACCAGAAGATGTTCTAGGCAATCCTGTAATGAAGTCCATAGAAATGCTGTCCCATTTCCACTCTGGAATATCAAGAGACTGTAGCATCCCGGCTGGTTTCTGATGCTCAATTTTGACTTTCTGACAAGTCAAACAACGAGTTACATGTTCAGTTACATCTCTCTTCATCCTTGGCCACCACCAACCACGTCTTAAGTCATGATACATCTTAGTTGCTCCTGGGTGAATGGTATATTTACTCTGATGAGCCTCCTCAAGTAGGATATTTTTCAATCGAGTATCATTAGGCACACACACTCTACCTTTATATCTTACGACATCATCATCGGTCACATCAAAATGTTCAGCCTTTCCAGCCCCAATCTCTACCCTAATCTTATTCAAATAATCATCCTTCTGTTGCGCAATTCTAATTTCTTCCCAAAAATTATTCTCAAATTCAGTAATATGTAGAGCAGCCAAACGATTTTCGACTACTTCTACATTTACTGCATGAAAACTACTCCATAATTCATGTTCTCTGACCATCATGTGAGCAGTATGTACAAGCTTCCTGCTCAGAGCGTCGGCGACTACGTTAGCTTTCCCTGGATGATACTTCAACTCAAAGTCATAATCCTTCAAAAACTCAATCCATCTGCGCTGTCTCATGTTGAGCTCCTTTTGATCAAACAAATATTTTAAACTTTTATGATCACTGAAGACCTCAAAAGAAGAACCATAAAGATAGTGCCTCCAAATCTTCAAGGCAAATACCACAGCAGCAAGCTCCAAGTCATGAGTAGGGTAATTTTCCTCATGAGGTCTCAACTGTCGAGAGGCATAAGCCACTACTCGATCCTCCTGCATCAATACACAACCTAAACCTTTCTTAGAAGCATCAGTATATAAGGTATAAGGAGCAGTTGGAACAGGTAAGGTGAGCACCGGTGTGGTGGTCAACCTCTTTTTCAGCTCCTGGAAGGCAACTTCACACTCGTTCGTCCAAATAAATGGAGCATCTTTCCTGGTCAACTTAGTCAAGGGCATTGCAATTTGTGAAAAACCCTTAATGAAACGACGATAGTAGCCTGCAAGACCCAAGAAACTCCTAATCTCTGTCACACTTCGAGGTTGCTCCCATTTCATCACTGCATCTATCTTACTAGGGTCCACTGCTACCCCTTCTTCTGAAACAACATGGCCTAAGAATTTAACTTCTTTAAGCCAAAAATCACATTTGCTCAACTTGGCATAGAGCTTGTGCTCTCTTAATATCTCCAAAACAATTTTAAGATGTCTAGCATGGTCCACCTCATCTCGAGAATAAATAAGTATGTCATCAATAAAGACTACAACAAATTCATCGAGATAAGGCCTGAAGATTCGATTCATATAATCCATGAAGACAGCTGGGGCATTTGTTAACCCAAACGGCATCACTAGGAACTCATAGTGCCCATATCTAGTCCTAAAAGCAGTTTTAGGGATATCCTCTGCTCTAACCCTCAATTGATGATACCCTGATCTTAGATCAATCTTAGAAAACACTGCTGAATTGACTAATTGGTCTAACAAATCATCAATTCGAGGTAAGGGGTACTTGTTCTTGATGGTTACCTTATTCAATTGTCTATAATCAATACACAATCTAAGGCTTCCATCTTTCTTTTTCACAAACAGTACCGGTGACCCCCATGGTGATACACTCGGTCTGATAAACCCCTTCTCTAACAACTCTTCAATTTGTCTCTTCAATTCAGCTAACTCCGATGGAGACATCCTATAGGGTGCCTTAGAAATAGGCCCCGTACCAGGTACGAGTTCAATCGAGAACTCAACCTCTCGTTCTGGAGGCAAACCGATCACTTCAGTAGGAAAGACGTCAGGGAATTCTCTCACTACTGGAATCTGATCTACACCTTCTTCAATCTCTGCCTTGATTGAGAAGAAAATCATAAAAGCTTGACAGCCCTTTCTTATACACTGTTCTACTTGAGCTGCAGACAACAACATAGGACTTTGGGACTCTACAGGGGTTACAGTAAGAGCTGAGAGTGACACACTCTTTTTCTGACAATCAAGTACAGCTCCATTTGCAGACAACCAATCCATCCCCACAATAACATCAATCCCAGACAAAGACAAACAAATGAGGTCTATGGTGGTCTTTCGACCCTCATACTCAACCTCTACATTTAGACATGCCTTAGCAGTCCTTACAGTCAAACCAGCAGGAGTAGAAATCTTCACATCAAAAGGTAAGGTACACACAGGCAATTTACATCTTTTCATACATTCATCAGACACAAAAGAGTGTGTAGCACCCGAATCAAACAAAGCACAAACATCATTATCAAGGATTCGGATTATACCTCGGATAGCATTAGGGTTGTTAGCAGCCTCTGGCCCAGAGAGGGCATACACTCGTGCTGGTACTGTAGGTCTCTGATCATTACCCCTATTTTGGTTTTGATAGCAGAATCTAGCAATATGACCAGGCTTCTGACAGATGTAACAAACCCAACAATCACCAGAATGAAACTTCCCACACTTACTGCATGCTTGATTACTAGCAGCACTAGGAGTAGGATTAAAGGTAGCTGGGCTCCTATAGGACCCTTGACTTCCACTCTGATTCCCTCTGTAGCTCTGGCCCTTATGATAGTAGCCCTTCTTCTTCTGATTTCTAAAGCCTCCAAAGATTTGACTGCTCCTCTTCTCTACTCCACCAATGGGTCGGGTGTGGATAGGGGGCTTCCCATGAGGTTCTTTCCTCCTCTCTCTATCAGCTTCTAATCTAGCCTCTCTCTTCCTCCGAGAAACTATTCGAAGCTTATTGCACATCTCACTGAATGTCTTGATCTCAAAAGGGGCTAACTGTTCCCTTAGATCAGGCCTCGCCTTCTCTAGTAATCGTTCAGCCATCCACTCCGTGTCTTCATGTTTCTGGAGGTAAGTAGAGTATTTAGATAATTCTGAGAATTGTTCAATAAATTCATCCTCATCTAAATCACCCTGACGAAATGCATGAAACTCAGCCTCCTTTTCTGCTCTCAGTGCAGTAGGAAAATAATTCTCGAACAATATGGCTTTAAAATCTTCCCAAGTAAGAGAGGAATCATCCTTCGGTCCTGATGTTTCCCACCATTTCTTAGCACTCTTCTGTAGTAAGAATATTGCCAGCTGCACCTTTTGATTAGAAGTGCACACAACCATACGAAAAATACTCTCCAATTGATCTATCCATTCTTCAACCACCGCCGGCTTAAGATTTCCATCGAAAGTAGGAGGATTAAACTTACGAAAAGTACTCCAGATCTTTGTGATCGTGGATGTCTGTTGCTCAGAGTGGAGACTCACATTCTTCGGACTAGTCTCATGGTGAGAATAAGGAGGTAAGCCTTCATCAGCAGATTGGCTCGCATTGAATACCTTGGTATGGCTTCCTTCTTGTTGGCCATTTCCCTCTCGGTTGTCATTCTCCTTATATTGTCTTAAAGCGGCCAACTCTTCTTCTTGTCTCTTCATGCGGTCACTAAGATTATATAGTAGATCCATCATTTGCCTCATAGTTGGCTCATCCTGCCTTAGTTGTGACTGTATGGGCTCGCCCTGCCCAATTTGTTGCTGTGTGGGCTCCGGTTGTGGCAGTGAAGGTATGTCATTTCCTATTGGCTCTATAGAATCACCGGTAATTTCGCCACCTCTCCTAGTTTTGGACACCATCTCTCCCCTCCTAAAGGATGGAAGTCACATAATTAAGTTAACACTAATCTCAAGACAAGAAAAATAATGGAGAAGCATTATGATTTAATAATGTATATTGCCAATAAACTAGGTTAATGTATAACAATTTCATAATTTATAAGAATTGGAACCATGAGCTCTGATACCAAAATTTGTAACACACCAAATTTTTTTTTTTAAATAATTTAACTCAACCATAGTTGGGTTACAGCCACCCAACACATTTTTATATCAATAATTTCGATATAAAATATTTTATAATTGGCTTCAACTCACACACTATAACATTTCAGATAAATTTTTACCTCCCACATGCCATTAGGCTAAATCACATTTGTCCATCCTTATACTCCCAACAAGTAAACTAAATCACATTTGTCCATCCTTATACTCCCAACAAGTAAAATAAACAATTTAGTCAATTTTCAACACAAGCCAGTTATTTGGCCTTATAATCATGCCATTTTAACCAATCCAAAGTAAACCAAATATTAAAATTACAGTCATCCAAATTGTACCAAAAATAGAAATAGTTTGAAAGGCATGATTACATTTATATATTCATATAATTGACAATAAACAAAAAGCCCTAATATTGGCAATATAACACATTATAAATCATAAATTAAATACCCAAAAGAGACAGTGGATCTATACCACTAAGCCTCTGGGACTCCTCCACGTGTCACTCGTGGCTCTTCTCCTGAAAATTGTTAACCACATAATGAGACTCAAAAGTCCCAGTAACCAAAGCCAATTTATGATAGTGTATACAAACAGTTAAGTGTGTGCTTACTAAGTGAGAATTAAAAATAATATAATTCCAACAAATATAAGAAATATTATAATACACACAAACAACCATCCTTATATCCCTCCATTAACCTCGAGCCGTAGCCCTCACTCGGTGCTAAATTACCCGGCCAAAGGTAGATTAGCCCGAGCCCTTACAAGCCACCTATTGAGCTCCAATAGGGGCGTACCACGTGGCACATAAATACAACAATAATAGCAAGTCTCCCAACACCTCCCACAATAATTAAACAAATTCATAATAATATTGCACAATTATACAATATTACAAAATTCATAATTTTCTCAATAATCACCCAATTAACAAGAAGTAACACTAATCATAAATTAAAAGCATGGTTACCTTGTGGCTTTTTCAATAAATTATTCCTTAAAATTTCTCTCTCACCACAATCTTCACCAGTAATACAATCTACAAATAACATATTATTTATAAATATTAGTTTCAATTTTTGAAACTAATAAAATAATTCTAATAATAGAATTAAAAATATAACATAATTCCTAATCTCAATCTTAATACAAATCTATAGTTAATACTATTAAGTATAATTTTTAACTCCTCTTTTAATTATCAATAAACATTAATAATCTAAAAATCAACTTCTAAACTAATTTCTATTATCAAAATTTTTTTTTATTTCATAAATTCGTACCTAAAATACTCAAAAATTAAAAATTAAGTCTCTAGCTTAGAATCATAATCCTATAACCATAATAATTCATTTCTCATCCCAAATAATCATCTAAACCTCAATAAATCAACATATATTTTCAGATCTAGTTTAGAATTTGATCCATAAGCCACAGATTCAAAGATCATCAATAAATTTATACTCTAGAACATTTATTATACTACTGACAACCTCAAAAACATATTTATTCAACATAAATTCATCCCTCTTTCAGATCTTAAATTTTCTACCACTACAAACTCAGAAACTAAAGAAGAAGGATGACTAAGAAAAATTTTTAGAACACTTACTTAGTCTTGAAAAGCTTAAAATCACACCCTAAATATCCTATTAAAAACTCTTACCTTAAAAATTTAGATATTTCGCACCGGCAACTCGCTTCTCTCCGCCTCAGCTCGCGCGCAGAATGAATGAGGAAATGAAGGAAGGTGAGTTTTTATAAAAATTCAGTGGGTCCCACACATTTTTTTTTATTATTATTTCTTCTTCTCTCTCTTCCCCCCCTTTTTTTTTATTATTATTTTATACTTACTATTCATGCGGCGCCGAAAGCAAATTCGTTTTCTCTTCTTCTTCCTTTTTTTTTTTGTTTTGGCATACCTTTTTCCCTTTTTTTTTTATATAATAATAATTTAATAATTAATTTTTTTAATTAATTTTTTTAATAATTTATTTATTTTATTTTTTTTAAATTTAGAATTATATCCTAAATTAGATTTAATAATCATTTTCTACTAATTTTCTTACCTCTAAATATTATTATTATTTTTTTTAAAAAAAATTTCTATTAACCTAAATTAACTATTAAAATTTAAATTGGGATGTTACAATTATTCCACTACTCTTCACCAGTTACAACTTCAAGAGTTAAAGCTTTATAATTAATTGGGCTCAAAAAGCTTTATAATTAACAAAATATTCAACATTTGAAATAGTGCTATATGAAATATATTTAAGAAAAAAATAATATTTCAATGAAAAGAAATTTGTTAGCAAATTTATTGAGATGTTATCCACTTATTTAAAGTAATCCCAACATTAAAATTTACCTCTTTAACATTCCTCACAAGGTTTATTTCTGAAATGTCTAATATAATAATAATTGAACCTCTAAAATTTTGTAACATCCATACTTATTTTCATTCTAATTATATTATACCAGTCTTTTAGTTTTCATTCTAAAGAAATTTACATCCTCCACTTTCCAATCTAGTGCGCAAATCATAATAATTCACTAACACATTTTAACTAAACAATAATATTGTTTACATTTGCACTCTTCCCACAACATTATAACTTGAAACCATGAAATTCTATTTATTATATTTGAAGGTTTAAATGAATACAATAAGCTATAAGTCCAAAATAAATAATTAAATAAAACAGTGTCCGTTGAGTCCATAGCACCTCCTAACACTTGCGTGTAAATAAAGTTCTTGATTTCAAGTTCCTATATAATTTCTATGCAAATATTTAGTCAACAATTCATTACTCATACTTAGTTATTCAATTAAATCCAAACAATTTCTCTTCCCACATTTCATCAAAACATCTTATATGCATTCTAAAATTAAATTATACATGAATACTAAAATTTATAAATTGTCAACCATACAATCCTCAAGCGTCAACAAGTTCTTTATAAAAATTTTTAAGTTCAATTTGATCACAAGATTCAACTTCCCATGAGAACAAAACATAATTCTAAATTTAAATGTTAGTCCTCAATACAACTATAATCAATTTGAATAATTTAATGTTGCTCCAAACATAATCATTTATATCACAATTTCTTCATAATATTATAGCCGTAACTAATTACTCCATTGAGACATGATTCTCTTTCAAACCTTATATCAAACACTTTGTGTGCACAACTCTTGAACCATTCAATAAATCTATTTCAGCTTCAATCTTTTAACCAACAAATTTCATGCATTCATAATTAAATTCATCAGCCTTTTTCGACCCAATTCCCCATCAAAAATCAATTTAAGTTCAGAAAAATCCAATTCCAAACAACATATTTACAGCCAAATAGGTAAACAAGGAAGACTAATATATATGTCTAACAAAGACCATCAGGGACAAAGAAAGGAAGGACCAAAGCCCCTTAAAATCAGATGCACACATTTATAGCAAAGAGGAAGAGAAACTTAAGCTTACATAATCAGCATCCAAAAGAGAAGAGGAACGACGATGCTTTATCACCATCACACCAAACAACAGCACTAAATGAAACAAAGAAGGAAGACTCACAAACCAAGCGGCAACTGACAGCAACGATGAACTGTGTTTCTTCACACAGGTACATTGACATCAGATCGGACAGAGCATCAAACAGAGTAGGGGAAGCTGCAGATCGAACATGGGGGAAGAAGAAGAATGTCCGACACACCCCACAACCAGTATAGAGGAGGAAGAGAACCTCCAGCAATGGTAGACGAGTGTACCAAGGTCGTCGGCAACAACAAGACTGACGGAGGGAAGGCATAATGGAGGGAAAGACCAAGCTCGCTCACTCTGGCTTAGTTCTCGAACCCTCTAAGAATGAGAAGGAGAAGGAAATAAAATGTGATATGCCTTTTTTTTTTTTTGTTCTAATCTTTTGATTTTTTTAACAAAGGTCATGACAATAATTTTATAAAGGCTAAAACAAAAATGAAAGCAAAGGTGCTCAGAGGATTCGAACACGTGATCTTTGGATGCACATTACTTGCAGTTGCCAGGTAAGTCAGCTCCAAAATTTATAAATATAGACTTAAATTACCTTACCATAAATTTTAATTGCCTTGAATTTCTGAGTTATTACAAAATCTATCATTAAATTTATAAAAATTGATCAAAATGTGATGATATCCTATATCTATCACTAATTCATTGCTAATTTATGTAATTAGTGATAGATTTCAATCTATGACAAAATTTTCATTACTAATATCTATAACTAGTGATGGATTTCCAATCCATCACTAAATGGTTATCACTAATTAATTTTAATTTTTCTAGTAATGTTTAAAACCTACAACTTAAAACCAATCTATACATTCAGTTAGCCAAAATGCAATGTAATTTAATCAAATCAAAATCAAATAAATTGTAAAATATTTACAATTTCATTTAACATTCAATATCCAAATAAGTTCAATCTTTCTTGCAATTCAACCACACCTATCCTAAATTCACTCTTTCGATGGATTATTGTCATGAAAATCTAACATGAACAATCCTCAATGTTGTCTAATTTCTTGGACCTTTGATTGAGGAAATGGAGATGGATAGTTGTGCATCTAAAAAAGATTAAAGACAAAGAAATTAACTTAGCAATTCTAAGTAAATAAAAAATAGTTTACACCTCTAAAATTAGATTCACCCTTTAGATGAACTTAGTCAAGCAAGCTGTAATAATATTGTATACATGTCTTAATACATAAAAGTTACACAAGTTGGAAGGGGGTTGATGACGGCTTTTTAAAATAATACAACATTGTTAAAACTATATTTAAATGAAGCTCTATCATCAAAATTATATAAAATAAAAACATGTATTTACTTTTGATGTTATCTATGTATAATCTTTGACATTACATGGGGCCTTGCACAACATGACTCGTTGGGCAATCCTCATAGCCTTATTATTAACACTTCATGTTTAGTAACTCAATCACAAAAAATAATATATTGTGAAAACACACTTACTACTCATGTGACTTCTTCATTGCCAAATTGAGTTTATAATGCAAAAAACATAAAAAGATGATAAAATTGCTCTTCCTTAAAAAATTGTCAATTGCCAATGTGTACATTGAAAAAATAAAGTTGCATACAATGCTTAATGGCCTCAAGCATCCTTTACCAGCACTCCACCAGCGTGCAAAAAATAAATCAATCATGCAGTTACAACAATTTAATTCACAATAATTCAATATTAAAAAGTAGGAAGCAAGCATGCTAACATGATTTATGTAGGTTAAAGGCATGCTAACACCATGAAAATCATATAAACCAACACTAACAATATAAAACAAAATCATATAAACCAACACTAACAATTTCAATCAATCATAGCCAATATATATACTTTCAAGAAGTATGCTAACAAGTTTGACTTAATTTAGATAGAGTTTTCTCTAAAAGTTAGACTTCTCAAAAGTTGTTCAATTGCAAAGTGTTTAATTTTTGTACCTAGGATCAATCACATCTTGCAAATTTAGAGTTCAAAATTGTAAAATTAATCATGCTCTAAAATTTGAACTTGCCACATCATAAACAATCTTCAGACATCATACAACACCACAATCTAAGCTTTTATGGGCAATAATTTAAGCTCACGGTTTTTAGAAATTCTCCCTAATTAATATTTTGACCTAGTAATGGAATAAAGCAATCGATTCAATGCAAGACTTGAAGTTTTTTTAAATTGTTAATAACACAAAAATTCATATTTACAACCATTATTCCATTATTTCATATTCAAAGACAAAGTTCAAAAATTCAAGTACTCAATTCTAAGATAAAATTATATAATCCAAGAAGCATTTTGTGCAAGAAATGAACTAAACAAAAAAAAAAAGAACGAATACAATACAAGGAAGCCAGAATTAGAGAAACACAGCGAGAAAGTCATAAAATCATGGATTACCCAATTCAAGAAAAAATCATGGCACGACCTGCAAAACACGAGCTTAGAACTCAAAAAGTAAAAAGCAAAAATTAGAAGAAAAAATACTGGGCAGTAGCTGAGCACATGAATAACATGAGCATGAGGGTTTGAAGCTTTGGTTTTAATGCATGAGCATGGGATTCAGGGTTTGAAGCTCTGGGTTTATAGGTTTTCAAATTTTTCATTTCAAACGAACTTAAAGACAAATAACAAAGGGAAAAGATGAAGAACATGAGCACGAGAATTGATTTTGGGTTAGGGCATGAGCGCGGAACAAGACAAATAACTGATTTTGAGTGGTGATGAATTGATTCTGGGTAGTCGTTTACGTTGCGCACTTTCAGGTGCGAATGGTAATGAACTGATAGAAGAGGGTTTTCTGAAATTTAAAAGCATATCTAAACAGGTGTGTGTGTACATATTAGAAAAAAAAAATTTAAAAAAAATTTAAACACATCTAAACCAGTTACATAGTTATGTTAAAAACAATTTAAAAAAATTAAAAATTAATACATGAACCTATTATATTTAATAACCAGTTTAAATGTCTCTCCAAAAATTTTAAAAAATTCAAAATACAATAAATAAATAAACCTGTTATATATTATAATCGATTTAGATATTAATTTTTAAACCTGTTATACAAGGAACTGATTTATATATCATTTCAGTCTCCTATTTATTTATAACATTAACATGGCCTTCACTTTTAAAATCATATACATATGAATTGGTTTAGAAATGAGGGTTTAAAAAGGCTATTTTGTCAGTGTTTTATGCAGGCCATTTAATGACTAAATAAATCATAGCAAAATGAATATAAGCATAACAAACTCAACAATAATATGACTTGGAAATTTGAAATGTGAGAAGTTAGGAATTGTGACATATCGTATATGAAACATAGTGTCGCATTACAACATTTATCGACATATCGACGTTTCAAGCATTGAATCCATAAATGATAAATAAAATGTTCATACCACGTTGCTTCTTCGTTTATCCGTCTCGTTTTAACCATTCCCCAATAGTTCATTGCCATGGCTGGGATCTTTGAAAATAACGCGTCCGAATAATTAGGTATTGAAACGGACTTACGTGCCGTGCCGTGCACCAACACATTCCATGCATATTTCAGCTCTTAAAATTTTTTCTTTTTATTTCCAATGTTTATTGCAGAATGAATATAGCTTAAACTACACCAATTGAGGCTTCTCCTGTAATATTTATATTCGTATATACTGATGAAATCCTTTAATGATTTTTCTACAACTGCGTCATATAGAATGCATATTTTGATATTTTCATGTAAAATCAAGTAACTCGATCTCTCTCTCTCTCTCTCTCTCTCTCTCTCTCTCTGTCTCGTGTATATTCTCCCCTCAACTGATTCTATTCGTTACGTTGTGATGATCTGAATTTAAAACAATGGAGACATATGTAGGTCGAAAGATTCACACATACCCCAGAAGGTCTAATTTGGCGAGCTCATCGAATATTTTTCAGCCTAAATCAAATAAATCATCCTGGAAACTATATCCGGCAATAAAGGCATGGTTTCTTAATTAAATTAATTGTCCAAATTAATCAAAACAATAAACCTTTAATATGGTTGCTTTGAGAGAATGTATGTTAAGAGGCACAAATAAACTTTTAAACAAGTAGAAGAATAAAATTAAAAAACGAATTAACTATATATAAAACTAAGATAACATAGAACTTACCTTTCAAATTAAGCCGTGCAGTGATTTTGGCGGTACATCAGGGCTTATTAATGAAAAATTGGTTACTTTGCTGAAAAGGCCCGTGTATCCTGACCATTTTATGAAGAATATATATATATATATATATATATATCCAAGAGAAAGTATTAACTATTACCAGCTAAAATGAACAACTGATATTTGTTAACCTCATAATAACCTCTCACAGATAGGAAGAGCAAAAATGCTGGGTTTCTCTAATAATAAATTCTGACAAATATTCATCTTTACTTCTTTCGACTAATTAATTTCAATGTATCTACCAAGAGTACGCGAAGAGGTTCTGCAACTAAAAAAATATAACGAAGATTATAATTTAAGCCGTTATAGAATGTGAGCCGTCTGCATACAAAATTTGGGTGATAGTTCATACCCATATATTGCACGACTGACCCATCCCTGCTTGTCGTATATAAGTCAGTGCTTGGCTACCAAGAGACCTAAATCAAGCGAAAGACTGCAACTTGGTACAATACCAGATTGAAGATCATTGCGTCCTCCCCGGTCATCTCGTTCAAAATAAATTCCTATTTTTCATAATTTCTTCCGGTCGCGAGAATGATAAGAAACTAAGAGTTAAAAAAAAAAAAATTGGCAAAAGAAGAAAAGTGTCTGGTAGTTAATGAGGTTGGACCCGTCCTCCACTCCCCTCACGAATCAGTCATTCCACATAGTAAAGAGAGCAGCATTTGATCCCTGCATGGACTCCGACGGCCAGCCGCCGTAAGCCCCAGACGGCATGTTGTAATTCTCAACCTTCACCAGCGCCAGCTCCTCCGCAGATCCCCCCGACGTCGTATTGGAAGCCATCCCCATAAACCCTCCTCCACTGTAACTCCCACTAGACCCTCCATCATTGTCCATCACAGAAGAAGAACAAGAACCCATGTTCATCAAACCCTGAAGCAGAGCCGGGTGGTTCTGAAGATAGCTATTGTACAATTGAGCGTTGTTGCTCGGTGATTGGTGAAAGTTATAGCTGGAAGAACCGGTTTGGTGGTGCAACTGAAGCTGGGTCTGGATATAACTGGGATGATGAAGTGACGAGTACTGAGATATCTCCTGGTTCTGCAGGCTTAACAATGGCTGCGTCTGA